TCATAAAACATTTGACCAGTGATGCTTTGAGAACTCTTGGTATTGCTTGCTAAACATGGATAAAGTTTCCCTGTCCAGTTGGGCTCCATTACCACATCTGTGCTAGTCGATTTTTTTATAGCACCGGCAATACGTGGCCCGTGCGCCGATGGTCACGTGATAATGTCGACAAGCGTTTGGCGTCCGTCAGCCTTGGTTGTATCACTCGAATCTTTAACGGAGAAGGGCGGCTTTGGTTGGCGCATCATCTTCAACCACCCGACTCGCTCCCAAACCCGCGCCTGTCTTTTATCCTCTTCTCGCATAGACACACCGACCACGACTCGCTCCGAATCACTGATCCTTGAAGCTATCATTGCCTGATTCAAACCGCGTCCGCACTCTCTCGGCTACTCTGCCCGTGCCCGTCTTCTTCGCAACAGCCTACGTCCGAAACGACATCTCTTCAAACACGTGCAGACGCCTTCAACCGCCCCCGATAATACCTATCGATCGCTTTGGATTGACACGGCATCCTTGAAACTACAGCTATAACAACCTCAGCCCGGTTCCTACACCCGTATGCGAAATCGCTTCTAACGCGCGCGCCCGATTGTCCGCATCGGTGCAGGGGACCTCAATGGTCACGTCCCGCTACCGCGGTTCACAAGAAAGGCAGAATCTCTTCCGTCAATGATACGCGCGCCCCAGCTTGATTTCTCTCTCGGAGCCGCGCTTATTGCGTTGTTAGGGGGGCGTGGTGCCTGCAGTGTCAGCTTTTTGCGCGGGTACCTACAGCAATTTGCTGCCGCGGTTCGATAAATGCCTGGCGTCGTCAATATGGAGAGCGGAGGCCAGAATGGTGCGCTTCCAGATCATCATAAGGATTCAGCTGTAAATGGAGTCAACGGCGTCAAGAGCGTTGATGGGTCAAAAGCTGCACCGGATAAAGGAAAAGCGCCAGCCACGGCAACGGCTAATAATGGGAACGATGCTGTCAACGGAGGGGCCACGGGCGGGCTACGAACAGATTCCCCGGCCGAACAAGTGTCAAGAATGAACGATCTGCCTGACGAGATCGTTCACATCACACAGGGCTTCATACCGATATCCCTACTTCTTACGCGACTCGCCCAGTCTACCCACAACATGATACAAGACAAGATTGCCGAACTAGCCAAGATGCCAATCTCGACCGCCGCTACAAACGGTAGTACAAATTATACCCAAAGCGCCCCGGATGATACATCGATGGAGAATTTGAAAAAGAAAGGAGTATTGCTGAATTTCATACAAGACATGCACTCAAAATGGGTCAAGGCGCTGGTTATTACGGAGTGGAGCAGAAAAGCTTCCAAAGTCAGCAAGCTCATTGATCTCAAATTTCACATCGATCAGCAGCGTCAACTTTACGATGCAGCTCTGGATAGCATTATAAATGTCAAGAGAGATCTCACCTATGCTCGAATGCCAAGCCCTGATTTGAAGACGGCATTGCAGATTCTTGCCACTGGAAAGGCACCATGGTTGCCTGATGTAAGTTCTTCTCCCTATTCCAGCTTGTTGGACAATTTTTTCTTACATGGTTGTGTGTGAAGCTGCAATACATAGAGCTGCCTCCTTTGACACTAGAGGAGCAGCTGAGGGGCATTGGCGATCTGGATACACTACTCTCTTTGCGATTGAATCTTGACGATTTTGATAAAATTCCTTACCAATTCCAAAACTACACGATTGGATCGGGCCGGGTGACTTTCAAGGTTGCGGGAGAGTTCGAGGTGGACCTAACAATTGCCGATGAGGATTTTGAGAAGCAGTTCTGGTTCATTGACTTCAGATTCGCCTTTCGACCAGCAACACTATCGCTTCCCGATACGTTACGAGCATTCTTGGAGAACTGCGTAAACGAGGCGCTCGCAAAAGACGGATTGGCTGGCTGTTATCAGTTCTTACACGAATTTGTATTGACTGCGAAGATCAATGAGCTGAAACGCCAAGCGCTGCAACTGAATCGGACATCATGGAGTGGCACGTTGGCAGTAGAACCTTTGAATCGGGCTTTAGCCATTCAATACTGGACGTCTCGATCGGCGGCTACAGGTCTGAAAAACTGGATTATTGTAGCGGTAAGCAGTGGGCGCAAGTCGGGTGGCAGGCCGGATCCGAAAGCAACAAGCTCTTTGGTGGTGAAATGGTACCGCGACAACAAAGAGGTCAAAGATGTCGAGATAAAGATGGATTTTGAGAGTCTATCAGCGGAATCATTACTAAACGACATCGTTGGACGGCACATTGAGTTTATCCTCTCAAGCATTCACTCTGGATTGTTGGCAACCCCGAGATACAAGAATCGCGACACTGGTGTGGCACTCAAACTTTCCAGAGCTGATCCAATAACCTCCTGCTTAGCACTTCAGGTAGGATACGGTGGCACAGTGTCGCTCCTGATCGAACCGATAAGTGGCGCCTTCGCCATGAAGCCACACTCAAAGTTCTCCATGCAGCCAGAGCTTCAATTAAACAACGGCAAAAACCCGTTGGATGACGGTGTGAACTTCTTGGAGCACCTGCGGTGTGCGATTATAGAGGATGAGTTAGGCAGAATGGGAACGGCGAGAGGGTGGTCTGTCCGCAAAGCGCCCGTCAACCCTGATGAGTTGAAGTCAATCACCAAGATGCGCAGATGGAGCCGAACTCTATGGCTCCAACATGGAGGATGGGGGTCCGCCTGGTTTGTTGTCGTTATCCTCAGCTTAGACGGAGATGAGTGGTGGCTGCTTGAGACGTAAGTGCATACGAACAATGACGTGAACCGTTTCACCTTTCAAAACTGACTGATTACATGCAGGGATCCTACAAAATCACTTCCAAATGCACATAGTGCTTCCAAATTTTCAACCCGTCTTCCGCTGAATAAAGGAGCCCCGCAAGTATCGGGCACATTCTGGGATAACCTGAATACGTTTGTGGCTGGCGCAATAGCGCAGGCAGTCGATATGAGGGAGCTGCGTCGACTCAAGATCAAGAGCCAGTCGAGTGGCAGTGCCGATCTATCGTTACCGCAGCAAGTTAGGATGCCCTCTATTGAAGTGGCGCTGTCCAATATCTTCCCGTCGATGATGCAGGAGGCAGCAGAAAATATAACGCCCCAGGGTCTTGGTGGTGTTATTGAATCGAATGAGGATCTGCAGACTCTTTCGTTGATACGTCCAAGCCCTGTATCATCTTCAACTACGAAGCAACCTTGGGCAGAAGACATGATGGCAATCAGGTTCAAGGGTGTTTGTGCAGTGGCCAGTCGTGCAGAGCCAGACGAAGGTCATACCGCAGCTCATCACCTTGTCTGCACATCTGAAGCCGTGATTAGGGTCCGACAACCAACCAAGTTTCTGGCTCTGAAGGGCATGGTCGATCGCGATGTCTCTTATGATCCTAAGCGAGGCGAATTTGTATTGCAAATACAACGACCGGTCACTCAATCGATTTTTGATATTCTCAAGTCGCGAGTCAAGGCTATAGACAGATTTGTCAACTTTCTCGAAGCTATGGAGAATGCCAAGGGCTCAATTATTGGCGAGTCCATCACACTCAAGGCGGTCGTATTTTGCTATAGCGCGCCGGTATCCACACAACCAAAAGATGAGACTGCGGCTCTGCTTCCGTCTCCTGAGCGTTGGAGAGTGAAGATGGATCTGTCCCACGAAGACATTGATATCCACATAGAGAAGGGTAATCCCCATCTCCGTGTTATTGATCTCGCAAGAAACTTGGCGAGCACTGAAGGCGGTATCGGCCCATTGATGGCCTGGCTGCCCGTGTCATTACCTGCTCTGAAGGCTATTGACCAGCTAGATGCCGAATGGGACGAACTATCGAAGAAGGGACAGGGCCGATTGAACTTCAGCATGAAGTCTCTCACTTGGATGAACATTAAGTACAACATCTTTGGGGCCAACGGCACCAAGACGAAGACTAAGAAGACCATATGCTTGGACGTGCGGATAAAGCCCCGCCGCGGACAAGTTTGGTGGCACGCCTGGCGCTCTGATGCTGATGCAGCAGCAGACGACGAGTTTAACAAAGCACTGAAAACCGTGTGGGATGGCAAGGGGAGCAACTGGCTCGGACTTGCCACAGGCGCGGCGGCTGAGGCTAATGACGGTGTGAGAGACATGCTGCTTGCGATCGATAAGGCGATTAGAGCAGCTATAACAACCTCGCCCGGGAAAAGGACGTACTAAGCAACTGTCTTGCATTGGCGACGAAGTTGCATAAGGCTTGCTCAATGTTAGACGAACACTCATATTTCTATTGGAAGGATGTCGTTTACGGGGAGTCCGTATAGACTTTGGAGTATAAAAAGGGGGGGTTGAAGAGGCGCAATTACTAATGTTCTTAAAAAAAGCTTTGGAAAGGGCTTTGGTCGGGTTTGGTTTTGGTTCGGAAACCAGGAGGGGGGGTTCTGTGGCATCATGCGTGCTCCTCTTCTTTGCTTTACTTGCTTTCTTTTTAAAGAAATTAATGATACCTTGTGCGAACAAAAAACAAAAATTCTAATGACTCAGCGAGTGCATTGGATAATGGGGGTGTAGGAGGGGGGAGGGATTCTGCAAGATTTGGTCTATATGGGACGACACAGACTCTTTCTACAGTATCTTCAATGAGAAGAAAATAAAAAGTAAACTCTTTCTCTCACTTTGAAAAGGACGGGTGGATGCGATGCACAAGAGATAATGAATGGCGTGAGGAAATAAGGAGACATGACTTGCTTGGATTCTTTGTTTGGAGCGGAGGAAATGTTCATAATGAGATAGATGCCTAGTAATCAATTTTGACGATTGTATATATATATACACTTGCAGCATATTCACTTTACTATCCAAGGTCTATGTATACCTAGGCATATATACAGTGACGAATATCGAACGTAGTGGTGATGCCGTGGTGTCTCGTCTAAATATATTATGGAAAGAGACATTACACGAATTTCTCATGGCCCCCTTTTCTTCCATTTATACATTTTACTTGAGCCGTCTAAACTTCCTCACCGGAATCCTCTCAGTAGGCACTCCGCAGAACTGCGTCGGGAACTCCATCTGCTCCAGCCCCGTCGCGAGCCAGTCCTCCTTGGCGACCGTCCTCGCAATATCATAACCGTTGCGCAGCGCGCCCATGGCGCCAATCTTGGTGTAGGACCCTCCCGCAACGGCGAGCTTGCCGCCAAAGTGCTCGTGGATTTCGTCGTCGGCGGCCATCATGTTGTCCAGGTGGCCGCGGTCGTACTGCGGGATGCAGTCCTTGGCGAGGCGGGCCATGGCGTAGCAAGGCGTCGACTGGGGGATGCCAAGGTGGCGCTCGAGAACCCTCTTTGCCTGCTGGATGGCCTCTTCCTCGGTGGGGATGGGCACGTTTGAGCCCGTCTGAGGCTTGCTCGAGTCGTAAAAGTGTCCGCCGAGGAGGACGAAGAGTTTCGTGCCGGCGGGCTCGTTGGGGCCCTTGACGCCGACGTCGGAATCGAAGAAGACGCCGAGGGCGCGTTCTGGGTTCTGTTCAGGTGGGACGGATAGGGGGATGAGATAGCCGAAGCCCGGGGGCTTGAGATTTGTCTGGGGGTACCAGATGTTGACGGTCATGATGGAGACGGAGTGGGAGGATTTGAGGCTGGGGATGCCGTTGGTGATGCTGGCGAGGTGTTGAGAAGGGAGGGTGGAGATGACTTTGTGGTATTTCTCAGATGATGCGGCTGAGTGTTGACCAGATGTTATCTAAGATGCCATAGTTTTAGTGAGATGAGGAGGTGAAATATTGTCAAGACGTGAGTGAAATCATACCTGAATCTGCTTTGTTTCCGTGTCATAATCCAGGTCAGAGACTTTCGCATTGAGCTTGATCTCAACATTAGCCTGGCCCTTGAGCGCATCCGCCAACGCAATCGGCAAAGCCTCCATGCCAGATTCTCCAAAATGCAAAAGCGCGCCCCTAGGCTGCCGGGCAATCTTCCGGAGCTGAGGATCCTCAGCCATGGTCTCCATAAAGGTCTGTTCCGAAACAGCCATGTGCCGCATATTAGGCCCCAGATTCGGCATGTAGTGAACCCAGTAGAAACGATCGAGGACGCTCCGCGCGCTGAGGGTGTAAATGTCACCGCCGTAGATGCCGTGGACCATGGCCGAGGCCAGGTTATCGGCCACAGCTCGACTGCCCGTGATGTGGTAGATCCAGTCTGCGATGGAGAGGTCCTCCACGGGCACCCCTTCCTTTTTGTTAAATAGCCGTCGCATCACGTATCCGAATCCTGCCCAGAGGGATTCGAGAACGACGGGCTCTCTAGCAAAGGCGGCAACGCTCGTATGGGGGGGCATAGGCACGAGGTGGTCGGGATAGTAGATGTATCGTGGCTGATCGGGCGGCGAGGCAACTTTGAGACCTAGATCGAGGGCCTAAATGGAATTGCATCTCGTTAGCATCTTGACCATTTATTCTTTTGACTGAATTTCATCCATTGTCCCAATGCCAGTGAAACCAGCAGCAATACAAGTCAACAAGTCGTAGACGCACCAAATCCCAAAGCACCAAATCGTCAAACCGCCAAGTGCTCTTATTCAACGATGAAAACGATCGCGGGCCGCGCTCGAAGTTCACCACCCCTTCGACTCCTCCAATTTTGACGGGCACTCTATCCGTTCTTATCCATCCACCCAGCCGATCGCTGCCTTCCAGCAGAGTGATCTTGGTCGTCGACGGCAGCCACTTGGCCAGGTAATATGCCGTCGTCAAGCCCGTTAACCCGCCGCCCAGAACCGCCACCGAGGCATCGTCCGGTAGCTTTCCAGCCTTTTTTCGCTTCGGCATGTCGTCTCCATCGTCGATCGAGCCCGGCGGTCGTCTCGTCGAACCGTTACTGCTGTTGTTGCTTCTGGTTGAGCTCAGGCTGCGGCTTAGAATGCGCCAGGCGCCAGCTCGGCTTGTCGCTGTCGCCAAGACGGCGCTTCTCCTCCAGGCGTTTGAGGACCTCAGGAGAGCCACTGCGGCGCCTTCTGCGCGCTGTAGGCTCATGATTGTCGTTCAATTGCGCATTGTCGAGCTCTGGTTGAGCGTGGAAACGTGGTGGTGCCACCTCTGGAGCTTTCCGGGAACCACCCACATTAGATGATCGGAGATCGGGTCCCACTTTGTTCCGCACTCTAGAGACACAGTCCCGCCTCGGCGTCATCATCTATTTATACCTAGGTAGGTGTTACGAATCTACGTAGACATATTAAGCAGTCTTCACTGAAGGACATGGGTTGGACATGATGAGACTTGAAAATTTACAGAAAGAGAAAAAAGAAATATCTGTTATTATCCGTCTCTAGGCTCGAATTGTAAGAGCCCCGGCCTGACCGGCCGCTACTACAGAATGCCAACCAAGGGCGTGTATAAAAGTTTGTGATAAATCTCCGCGTAAAAAGCCCATTATCTCCCAGCCCAAAAACGCCTTTCTATGCCCTGGAAGCGTGATAAGAAACATATACGTCCAGCATAATCGTACAGATCCTCCAAGCCCAAAACAGTTTCATACAAGGGCTAAATGACCGTCTTTTTTTCAAGTAACTGAAGCGCAAGCATTCCCGCCCGAGATGCATCAGAACTTTTCTTGTTTGCTTTTTCATTCTTCCCTGCTATTGCTCAACCAATGACTTCGTTTTGTACCATGTCTTCCAACGTGGGTTCTCCGGGAGCGTCGGGGTGAATGAAATCCTCCTCAGCGTCGTCATCCACAAATTTTCTCTCACTAACGTGGCCCTGCTCGGAAGTCCAGACCTTGTCCTTGAAGCCTCCTTGCTGGCCCTCTTCATGTGCAAAGGCGCAAGTGGGATTCAGACAAGGGTTGAATTTGCACTTGGTCTTAACGTGTGTAAATTTGCAATTTGGTGTCGTACAATCTGCGCCGTTGCGGCAGAGGGGCATTGAAGGGTGTTTGAACGGGCATCGAGCGTTTTGGCAGTTGGGGAAGAACTTGCAGTCTTGTTCGCTCTGGTGCGCAAGCCTTGCGGCTGGCGAGGGGTGGCGTCCGACGCATTTGCGGTTCTTGCAGGCAGCACCAAAGCCGCAAACATCGTTGACATCGACAGAAACACCAGGAGGCGCAGCTGGAGACTGATGTGCGAAGTTACAGTCTTTGTTTGTGCAGCGAAGATTGTATTTGCAGACCGTATCATCCGGGTTTGGAGGCTCGCGCTTGCCCATGTCAACATCCTCGCCTTCGGCAGCAGTCTCCATGTTGACTTCGTCTCCGTTCGCATCAGCTTGATTCGACCCTTGACCTCGGCGGAAGTTGTTCTTGTGGCGCGGGTCCTGAGTCCTCTCAAACAGAGACTTCCCTCGTCGCTGCTGGCCAAATCCTCGGTTCCCGTTGTTCATCATCTGCTGAGACAGCTCCAGCATCATTTGGCTTTGCTGTTCCAGTATGGCCATGACATCTAGCTGATTAGGTTGGCCTTGCATCTGCCACTGAGGGAATCCCGGTCCGCCAGGGGCACCAGGCATCACGCCGCCCGCCATGCCTCGGTTGTTGTTGTTGTTGTTGTGATTCCGCATCAAGCCACCGCGGCCACCGCGCGGGCCAGTTGGGGGAGCACGGCCATGTGTATCAATTCTTCCGCCACCCGTTTGCCCACGAACTCGATGAAGAACGTTGTCGTTTGATCGATCCATAGCCTTGGACATGTGTCCAAACATGCGCTTATCTCGTCCTCCTCTAAAGTTGCCATTGCGCATTGAGCGGGGGCCAGTGGGCCTGCAAGAAAAAAAAGGTCTGGTTAGCTCTAGAGATTCTCTTGTCTGTGCCATGAAGGCGTTGATATTGCGAATGGTACTTACGCATTCAGCTCAGATACATCGTGGGATCCCATATCCGTATCCATTTCTCCACCTGCAGCGTCGCCCATGGAGTCGCCGCCGCCGTTTTGCTGGCCATTCGGCGCGCTAAGAATATGAACCTGTTCAAATAGCCATTTGGAAAACTCGTGTACGACGGGGTCATCGAGCGGTAGGTTTAAAAGGTCTCCGGATAGCTCCGCGGCAATCTGGTCTTGCGTCTTGCCATTGACGAGCATCAGAATAATGTATTCGGCGAGGGCAGAGTCATCGCTGCCCCCCGTGCCCCATCCAACCTCAAGTAGCTTCGGTTGAATCGCAGCATTGAGAGCCTCCGCCAGCGGAGTGCCAAGGCCGATCTCGAGAGACATCGTGTCGAAGTGAGGGTCGTTGTGTCTGGACGACCAGTGCTGCGACAGCTTTTTGCCTGTATCCCACTTCCAAGACGCGTTTGCCTAGATCGCGGGAGAGGATCGCGCTGAGAGAGATTCGTTTCCGGCGCTGACGCTCGAGGCGTGCTAGTAAACGTCTAAATATTGCGAAGATGTGCGTATCGCGGCAGATGTGAGAGGCGTCGGTGTAGCGAGTAGACGTAGTCTGGCTCACTTGTAGCAGTTGAGGTTCTCAAAGTTGTTCTGGACTGCCAGGGAGCCAAAAAGAATGGGTCAGAATGATGTCACGTGATACGCTTTTGCCTTTGGCTGGTGGCGAATCAGTTTGTCATCAAGATTTGCAATAAGCTTTACAGTTCAAGCTTTCGCTTCTGCTGTAATTTGTTTGAAGGCTGACGCGACATCCATATGGCAACTTGTTTGCCGGTAGCGAAACTTTTCTTGATATAATTCGAGAACTCTTCATTAGTTTCTCGCTCCCATGCCCAGTTTTGGGGAGTAAATGTTTTCAAGAGTCCTCACGTGCCACCAGCTGCTTCAAGAGCGTGCGAACTCGAAGTACCTGCTCTAATATTTTAGCAGCGCTAGTACACCGACTTAGGTTCTTCCATCTCCAGAGCCCAAGATCGGTCTGTTCCTGAAAGCATAGGTGCAGTACAAGTGGCTGCTCGAAGCTAAAGAGGAAATGAATGCTTACAGTTACCCCAGCATCTGTGAAGAGAGTGGAATTTTTCAATACCTCGCATAAGAAAATCTAGTACCATCATGATTGTCCGTTCCTTTTCATTCGCCGTAAAAATAAGACTTATAACGCTATTGTAAGAACAGCTATCTCGGCCGTCTCTTCACAGCACATCCTCTTCAGGGCACATTATTATCTCCCTATTTACGTAGATAGGTATATACTTGCTCTACACTTGCCACCCAAGATAGATCTCGCTAGATGCTTGTGTGCCTGGGCCTCAAACAGTACGGCCAGGTAGATGTAGCTTTACCTCACCCTAACGTGGCACCAGATGCAAGCAGTCCTAAGCAGTCCTATAATAACAATAAAAGCGTTTCGGACCTTTGAATCGCCCGCGATAGTAGAGCTGCTAAACATTACATGATTTTCAGCTGTCCGAATTGTAGAGCGGCAAGCTATCTATTACCCAGCTATCGATAAAGCTTTAATCGGCTGTGGGTTCACATGATTCCATACTCTGCAATGTGCTTTGCAGCAAGGCATTGGTGGCTATCACCTAAGCTTCGTTTACAACTGACTGACTGAAAATGGCATCCGTGGATATTTGGCAATTCTAATCATGTATAGCTCCCAGATGTACACAAATTGTAGTAAGGCAAGATTTAGAGACAGCGGGGACATTGTTAAGGTGCACCCAGCACAGATATTGATACCTACCTACGTAAGTGCATGCGCTTCCTACTGCGACTCCTTTCGCTCAACAGTTGAATAGGATCACTTTTTTCTTAGGTCTCACGTCCATACTTGCCAGTTGTTATTTGATATCATCGTCTGAGAAAGAAAAGACTATTTCGTTTTGATTTCTGTTTTTGTGCTACCCAGTTATACAAATGGCCCCAGAACCATGAGTCAGTCAGAGATTCTACCCACAGACTCGGCCATGACATGGAGATATGATTGCAAGGGATCTTCACTACCATTTCCAAATCAGTACTGCTCAACAGAGGAACACTTCAAAACAAGCGTTTCTTCGCGACTTGGCTAGCAGCATGCATGGTCGACTGACGAATGGCTGGCATCACGGTACCACGAGCCAGTGTTACATGCCGCGTCGCCGAAAACAACCATGCCTGCGCAGCGCTATAGAGTGTAACCTAACAAGGTGGTAGACGTCTAGCGAGCTGAGCTCACATCGTCGGATGGCTCCCCAGGTCTCAGATAGCAATAGCACAGATCCGTACTACTACTATACTGCTGCCGGCGTTGTATCAAGCGCCAGGGCAGCAACATGTCCTGCATATTGTCGTACAAGTACAAGCCACAAGAGGGGTTGGAGAAGTGAGGTTACCACAATGCCAAGGGTAGGATAAGTACGTGCAAGGATGGAATAGTAAATGCTACCCGCAGTACCTACATGCACGTATCTAGCACTACTCCGTCCTATGTAACTCTATTGTTGCTCGTCGATAAGAGGGTTAGAGATACCTCTCCCGCCTTTTATATACAGATACCAGTTCAACTCATGGGTCTACAGGGCCTTTTGTCGGTACAGGCTATAGGCCAGGGTCTTGATAACCAAGCGACTGGAGCCGTTGTTATGCACGGAGCAACTCTGCTCCGTATGAGCCAGTAAAACAACGATGGCCCAACATCTTGGTTCGATTTACAAGTAGTAAAATACCAGGTATCAACGCGAGAGAATGTAAACTAAACTTGGAGCAAGCGGCTATGCGTGGTGGTGGTACTGGTAATTTAACTCGGCGCCCTACAGAGCCAGCAGAGCCCGCTACCAGAGGTTGAAATTAGCACTTCACTCTGGAAGCAACAGTGCAACACCATCCGTCAGCCTCGCAGAGCAGTCCAGCTGTCTCCCATCCTCTTTTCCTCATTTCCTCCGTCCCTTGTCCCAGTCCAGCCCCCCAACGGCCCCGCAAAATATCCCGGCAAACCACCGACGCCGTAATTGAATCCTGACAGATGCCTGATATGGACTAACACATGGCATAAGCAAAAGTTGGGGGTTCTGTGGCGGCCCCGGACTAAGGCTCCTCCGCGCGCTGATTGGCTCGCGATAACGGCCCGTGGGGAGGCGTCCCCGCACGACGATCGTCCAGGGATTCTCCAAGCCATTTCACTCCAACAGGCTGGCATTAGACAACAAGCAAGAAGCAGAACAAAGTCCCAGGGCCTCAGCGGCACACGGGGAGAATCGCACCAGCTGATTACCGACCCCAGAGAAACGCCACCAAGCAAGAAGCAACGTCGGGGCTATGGAGTTCTGCCCACCAAGCGGCTGGATGGACCAAATGACCTCTCGATGGATAGATGGCGTGTCGCACTGCAGCTTTCAGCTTCTGGCCTCGATCGTTCTATTGCTGCGGCATTGCTTTGCATTGCTCAAGGATCGCTTTGATACGATCCAGGGAGAAGAAAATGGACTTCTTAACAGAGCACCAGGGACTGACATGTACCTAACCAGCGAGCGGCCGCCACAGTCAGCACTCTGCTGATATGGCCCTTGGAGTACCTAGATCTCCAGTCAGATCCTTGCCCCTGGATATCATTGCCTAGGTACGTTTCAAGTGGCCAGCGGCATTGGGGGGCACGGAGCTTTCTGTACTTGCAGGGTGGAACTGCCATTTTACCCGACTTGCCAGTAGGATTGGGCTGAGACCCTCTAACAGAGTTCCAGTCACCAATCGTGTGCCCATCCAGCTTCATCGTTTGGTTTTCGACACCAGCATTGGTCACTGTCTCTTTTAGCTCCTCTTGCCGAGCATTCTTCCGAAGAACAAATGCAGCTGTTAGCGAAAGAGATGCACGTTGGCTGCTAGACATGCGGAGTGCTGCATCCCGTGGACACCACCAAGAAGTGAAAAAAAGTCCATCAGCGTAACGTTGCGCGCTCAAAACCACCCAAGTCGACCCGGCCCCGGCAGAACGCCACAGCTTCATTATCAACAGGGAGGTCTCGTCCATCATCGGAGCGCATGCAGCCAACGCTCAACCTCAGCCTCTGTCCAGCATTCCCAGTCTGCTGGCTGCCGACCTGCCGAGCCGCTGGCGCTGGTCCCTGGTATGGACAGGCTCACGCGTGCCAGGTAGCATTGGCCACTGGATCATCGACCTTGTCGCGTGTCAGGGGGCCGTGCTCCCGTCCAGCTGTGGGCTGCTTCTTCGGGACGCATGTCGATTTGAGAAATCCGCCCATCCCTTCAATGAATCGCGTCGTGCCATCGGCAGGCCAGGTATTTAAATATTTGGCTGGCCCCGCGTCTTGAAGATCCAGTAGTAGTAGCGCTGGCAGGACTGCTTTGAGAATCCTGAGACGCACCATAGATCCGACCAATTGATAGTATTGCCATCCCTTCGGTCGTCCATCATGCTGCCCAAGGCGATCCTCGCGATTGCCGCACTGGCCTTCAGCCCTGCGAATGCGCTGTGGCCCATTCCTCAGAAGATCACAACTGGAGACAGCGTCCTCTTCATTGACGAGGCTGTGAGAGTGACTTATAACGGAGTGCAGGTATGTGATTGAATATGATACGCCGCTCTGTGGTGAAGTTTGATAGATCGCAGCAGCACCTAACACTCTGTTAATAGATCATTACAATCGGCTACAACCCGCCTGCTGGTTCCAACTTCAACAGCAAGGAGATTGTTCAGGGCGCCGTCTCGCGAACCTTCCAGTCCATTTTCAGCAACAACTTTGTGCCATGGAAGCTGAACCCCCGCAACAGCAACTTTGAGCCCAAGCTGGCTCCTCTGAACCGAATCCAGACCATTGCGATTCAGCAGACCGGAAAGGATACCGCGACCACCTTCAAGCCGCGCGCTGGAGACGTCGACGAATCGTACAGCCTGACCGTGTCAAAGAATGGACAGGTCAACATCAGTGCCAAGTCCTCTACCGGTATCCTGCACGCTCTCGAGACCTTCTCCCAGCTCTTCTACCAGCACTCTGCTGGACACTACTTCTACACGACTCAAGTGCCCGTTTCTATCCAGGACGCACCCAACTACCCTCACCGAGGAGTTATGCTTGATCTTGCCCGTACTTACCAGACAGTCACCGATATCAAGAGAACCATTGACGCCATGTCCTGGAACAAGCTCAACCGTCTGCACTTGCACATCACCGACTCCCAGTCGTGGCCTCTGGTAATTCCTTCACTGCCTAAGCTGTCTCAGGAGGGTGCCTACCACCCCAGCCTGGTCTACTCTCCCGCCGATCTTGCAGGCATTTTTCAATACGGCATTGACCGCGGTGTTGAGGTCATCACCGAGATTGACATGCCCGGTCACATTGGCGTTGTCGAGCTTGCCTACAGCGACCTCATTGTAGCCTACCAAGAGATGCCTTACCAATACTACTGCGCCGAGCCGCCATGTGGTGCCTTTTCGCTCAACGACTCCAAGGTTTACGATTTTGTTGATAAGCTGTTTGACGACCTTTTGCCCCGTATCACGCCTTACAGCTCCTACTTCCACACCGGTGGTGATGAGCTCAACGCCAACGACTCCATGATCGACCCCCGTCTCAAGACCAACTCGAGTGATGTGCTGCAGCCTCTGTTGCAGAAGTTCATCTCCCATGCTCACTCCAAGATCCGCGCACAGGGTCTGTCGCCGTTTGTCTGGGAGGAGATGGTTACCACCTGGAACATCACTCTGGGCAACGACACTGTCGTTCAGTCTTGGCTGGGTGGTGATGCCGTCAAGAACCTGGCCGAGTCTGGCTACAAGGTCATTGACACCGACTACAACTTTTACGTGAGTTTGGCACCTTTTGAAAAATCCAATGTAGCTGGATATTTGCTGACGAAACCATACAGTACCTGGACTGCGGTCGTGGCCAGTGGGTCAACTTCCCCAACGGCGACTCTTTCAACACTTACTACCCCTTCGGCGACTGGTGCGCTCCCACCAAGAACTGGAGACTCATCTACTCTCACGACCCTGCCAAGGGCGTCTCCAAGTCACATGCCAAGAACGTCCTGGGAGGAGAGCTTGCCATCTGGAGTGAGATGATTGACGGCAGCAACATGGACAACATCATCTGGCCCCGTGGCAGTGCCGCCGGCGAGGTCTGGTGGTCCGGCAACGTTGATACCGCGACCGGCCAGAACCGCAGCCAGCTCGAGGTGACGCCTCGCTTGAACGAGTTCCGTGAGCGTATGCTTGCGCGTGGTGTCAACGCTATGCCCATCCAGATGACTTACTGCACGCAGCTCAACGCTACGGCTTGCACGCTGTTCGCATGAGGAGTCTAGGATGAAGTTTCTCTCAATCGAAGATTGTTCCTTGTTTTTTTTTTTTTTTTAACTAGCATTGTGTAATGTACAAAGGTTAAAACAGGTTTATGGTTTATGAGAAGTTGCGGGGCAATGGCTTGGAGCAACATGTGTTCTATAACTGTATATATATAATTCATTAATACCCTGAACTTAACTTTCTACTTGATGTTCTTTTGTGCATCAAAATTAGAGTCGCCTACACTTGGCATCTGTTATGATTATCTCAAGTAATATGACTTTTACGCTATGCTTCTATTATCTGCATGGATATATGACCGCGTACATATAAAGCCGTCCAACATCTTCAACACATACACAACAATGTATTCCCCTCGTCCGTTCTCTTTTTCCTCTTTTCTATTTTTCATTTATTTTAGAAACTGAGCAATCTCCCAGTGCTTTGTTTATGCTTTCTCTCCATTCCAATCCACCTATTAGAAAAAAGAATGACCATACAACACCTAGAACATAGCAAGGGGAAAGAGAAGGAGAAGAAATAAGTAAATCCTATAAAGCCCTTGCTTTATCCCAACTGGTCCCAAAAAAAAAAAGTGAAAATTCCACACATGCTATACAAAGAGAGAATATCGGAGGCAAAGGAGAAATGGATTTGCTGCCAGTAAAGATTTACGCAGGCCCAATCACGCTCGCATCTCCAGACCCTGACTTGACAGACCACAAATCTCGCGACCATCCCATCTCCCGCAGCCTCTTGCTGCCAGAACCAGATGGCCTCTTCTCTCCGGTGGCAATTGCCAGCGCTTTGCTGCAGGCTGCAAAGGCCTCGACGAGTTCCGTCATGCGATGAGCGTCCGTAAAGGCGTCTTTCAGGTCTGATTCGCGCTCTGCAACCAAAGATGCGAGCTCCATGCACTCTAATAAGTTATCTCGCGATAGGCCAGTGCCGGCAAACTGGAGAGCGCTGATGTATGCCAAGACGGTCTCTGGCAGGTATGCAGCTCGAATGTCTCGCAGCTCTTCGTCTCCACCTGTAACATCCACTCTGTTAGCTATCCAAAGTCAAAATCTTTAAAACTGTTGGTCACAAAGCATACCCTTGATTGCTGGTATCAGCCATCCCTTCAGCAAGGGCTTCATAAACTCCTTGACATTTTTGATCCCTTCGCTGGCTGGACCCCAGAAATCCCGGTCTCCATGAGTGAGTCTGGCCCTCAAGTTAGTCAACGTTTACTTCAAATATCGGGATAGCAGGTACATACTCAGTCGAGAGAACCATCAGTGAGGCTACTGTTTCCAAGGCATCCAAAGCCTTGACGAGGTTTTCGAGCGCACGGAAGTTTCGTGCCTCTGCCATGACTCGCTCAGGGTTCATGTTGGAGATTTCGCTGCGCTCCAGCAGCCTGGCCCAGAATTCTACATCATCATACCATGCAATATCAGTTTCTTCTTGCCCTGAAATCCCTTGAATGATCTTGTTGAAGGAAATCTTTTCCACGAGCCGTCGGGCCGCTTCCAAGTTCGCGTTCCCTATCAAGTTGTCAGTCATATAATTCCATGTCAACTCATCCAACAGTTTCACATACGCAGGAAAAACTTGTAAACCTTTGTTCCCATGGAAAAGACTTCAGGCCACATCCCGTCGACCATCATAAGCCACTCCAGTGCACAGATTACCCGGTCGTGGTCATTCTGCACAACACCCTCGTCATAACCGAAAAAGTCCGCCTTGATCAGCTTCCCGAACTGTGGTGTTGAGGGTGCGTCGCTGATGATGCTAAAGGAGGCTTGCTGGGGAGCCTTCTCTCCCAAGGCGTCGTAAAAGAGCCATACCTGCCTCTCCACAAACTTCAACACGTCAATTCCAGCCTTCTTGATCAGTTTCAGCTGCAGCAGACGCTGTTCAGGATCCTCTTCGTGGATTAGATTCCAGCTCAGAACGTCGTATTGTCTTGGTGCTTGTAGTATTGAGCAATACAGAGGGATGAGCTCTTGAAGGCCGGCGCGGCGCAAGTAGTCGGTATACCCCGCTAGGATACTTTCCTGGCCAGATAACCACTGTGGCGGCGTTAAGGAGCCAGAGATGATTCCCTGGGCAGAGTTGAGCTTCTCCATCAGCGTGGTGATCACAAAGACGTGGGATACAAGACGGAGTCCCTGATGCTGGTCCAGGTTAAAGTACTTCTTCTTCATAATGGTAGAGTCGATGGGCTTGGAAGAAGGTAGAAGAATGGATTGACCGTCCGCATTTGCATCCGCAGTCATGACAAGACCTTGTTCGTACAGATGACGCCCGACTTCTTTGGCAATAAACGCGGCTTGCAGAGCTTTACTAGGCTCTGTTGCCTCGTCGCGGATCCTTTCCTGTGACTCCAGCGAGCGAATGAGTCTCTTTTCGACACCTCGCGGGTCTCCCAGAAACTGAACAGCGTCAAACGAGGCAAAGTTTTGAGTCAGAGTCGAGCTCATAGTTGGTGAGCATCGGCTCAATACATAGGTATCAAACTGAGTTCGCAAGAGTGCATTGTAATTAGCAAAGAGGAAGTCGTCCCACCTCCTAGCAATCTTCTCAACGCTACTAATGTCGCCCGAGAGTAACCCATATACCGCACGTTCGTAATCATCCGACCCTCCCTGACGAGCCAAGGCAAAGCACGTCCGTCTCCAGAGAGCCAACGCCTCGGGTTTCAAGTCGTCGACAGGGGCGGAACTGTCATCAACAGAGAGAGGCATGGCAGACATTGAAACAGCGCGCCACATTTCAGTGCGCTCTTGGCACCACTCACGCAGCTCTTCCAGGCTGCTGCCACGACGAAGATGTTCAAAGCAGCCAAGCCAAATAGCGCGCTCAAAGTACTCGTCGGCGGGTTCGAGTTTCCGTCCCTGGCGAGTGATAGCATCGGGATCCAGCTGCGTAATCAGGGGAGCACCGTCCTTGCCAACGTGAGATTCCATGACTTTGGGGCCCTGGTGGTCCAGCAGCCCATGCCATGTCGTCAAGTTCTTCCGCAGCTTGATAGTTGCGCGGGTGTGGAGCCAGCCATGAGCAACGATGTCTCCCCTGTCGGCTTGCTTCAGGAGATCTCGTGCCAGATCATCAATATCCGGGCCAGCAGCCGCATTACTCTGAAGCCACTGGAGGACTGCGTGGCGCTCCTGGGCTGTAGGATCCGCAAGGAGAAACTCGAGCAGCATATCGGACTGGGTCGAGCCTGTTTCTATTGATGGGCGATCGTTGGCATTAGAATTTAGCGCTGCGTATCGTAGAGGTAATAGTCGTCGAATCAAATCCCAAGTCTGCACTTCCTTCTCCAGCTGCTTAATCTCATCATCCTCTCCAGAGAGGCCATCTGCCGTCTCAAGCTCATCAGCATCCATGTCTACATCGTCATAACCGCTGCGAGCTCGCTTCGGCCGCGCCTGTTGCAGTCGTCGGGATGCATTTTCGTAGTATTTCCGGGGGAGGTCGAGAAGTCGGGCTCGTTTGTCTTCCAGCGATAAGAATGGTGAAAGGCAGTTGTCAAGGGCGTTGGCAAACTCTTCCACCTCGGGGCCGACATTGAGGTCGTCCAACAGCCCTTGCTCCATGGCGATTGTCGAGTCGCGCACGTCGAATGCTTATCAGCTGCAGTTATGTCGAAGAGGGGAAAATTACACGTCCAGGGCCGCTCGATGTATGGATCTCGCCGCGCAGAGCGTCCCAACCAGGCGATGGCTGTAGAGTCTGGCTGGGGTCCAGGTGCCGACTTTTCAGGGCGTTGGCCTTGGCCTCATAACACGAATGGAAGTCGCAATTGGGTATCTCAAAGAAGCCGACGTCGCTGCTATTATCTAGGCTTTTTCCGTCGATCAAGGGAGTTTAATATGGGTTGGCGAGATCGTGGGCTGCTCAGCGCAGAAATTCAGCAGCTCTCAATATTTTGTTGCTTCAAGGCGCGCTTGAGCTTCACACGGGCAGCCTTCTAGCCTGCGATTAGGTCCCTAGTAGACTATACCCGAATGACAGGCTTTTGGCACATGCGAAAGAAAGTAGCCTGTACTATTAGGTAATATGTAAATTCCCAGCAGCGACCAAGCACTGAATTTACGGCATACTGCGATATGCAACAAAACGGGGCTCTGTGCCTGGTGAATCCCACTACTACTAGAGCAAATTTTCGTCTCGATTTTTTTTCTTCTTTTTTCTTTTTCCTTTTCCTCATCATAATGTCATCGGCATTGGTATTAGAGTCTCGGAACAAGACGATTCGATGCTTGTTCAGGTCCCATGAGGATCTCTTGCGTGCTCAACCATCGCCTAGAAAAATTCGCTCCTCATCAAGTTGCCTGAAAATTCTCTACACTGGTTGACATACTATACGATGAGCGTACATTTCTTCATTCCCTTTCCCCTCCTGTTTATGTACTCTATGTACAATCTACCTTATCCATCTAGATACACCGTAAACCGCTGTGCGCTCTTTAAAAGAGCCGCATAGATTATCTGTAATTGTGAAATGCTCATGTTTTGCCTTTCTCGGCCTTTATTTGCCCTCTTTCTGCTGCTGAGTTTTCAGACGCAGCAGTTTTGGCTGCGGGCAGCTAGGGGACGATGCGTCGTCGCCATACCGCTGGTAGAAGGCTTCACAGCATTCGTACAACGCCTTGACGGCATTTTGACAACGAGCCTCGTTGTAATTGTTCTTGGCAAGGCAATCTGTGGTTCTCAGCTTGAATGTCCTCGCGATTCGTGTGCTCGACTTGTAGCTCTGGAATAACAACCTACCCTGGATGGCACACTGGAAATAGAGTAAAACCCCTCTTGTCAGTATTTGAAGTCTCACAGAGATATGCATTGACATTATAAACTCACTGCTCGTGGATGACACGGTGGACGCGCTTCAACATCGTCTTTGGGAGATGGCTATAGCATTGGCGGCTGTGGTTAGCGGTCAAATGAAAGATCCCAACAGATGAGAAGGTCACCAAAGCTGAGAAACGACGAAAACGAACCATGATCAAGTACTTTAGCAAGGGAGCAGATTTGCAAAACCAAGAGATTTAAAAACAATCTTCCAATGACACAGCCAGCCACTAGATGCCTTCGATTGATGTAAAATAAAGATAAAATGCCGGACTAAACACGCTGTTCCTGCATTTACAGCCTAAGAATTACCGTCACTGATGTCATCCGTACCTGTCTCCAAAGTTCTGGCTATACGGTTAAGCGTACTGCACTCAGGCAGGCCACAAACAGCGCGACGCCAGGGCAATCAAGCATGTACCTAGCACGTTCACAGCACCGCAAACCTCACCTTTCGCAGCGCACAATCACTGAAGCCCAGCCGTGCAGGATACTGTACCTGTACTTTCCAGCGCTCAGCCACCCAATCAGAGGCCGCCCTCCCCACTTTCTTCCACTAGAAGCCTCTTTGGGCGCCTTCTTCGTCGCCCTTCTATCGCATCACCTTTCTCTGGCGGCGCCTAAGTTCTTAAAACCAACTTCTTTCTTTTTCCTTAAAGATACCCCCCAAATCCAACAAAGAAAGCACTCTCCAGAGAGAGACGCTCCCCCATAAACCACAAATCACAACAGAGAACAACCCACAGCCATGTCTGAAAACGATGCGAACCAGTCCCCCGTCGACCGACAGGACCCTCCTCCCAACAGCGAGCATCTCAACATCAAGGTCACCGACAACAACAACGAGGTCTTCTTCAAGATCAAGCGCAGCACCAAGCTCGAGAAGCTCATGACGGCCTTTTGTGAGCGCCAGGGCAAGTCTCTGAATTCAGTGCGGTTCCTGTTTGACGGCACACGAGTCCAGCCAACGGATACCCCGGACGCGGTATGCTTTCCTTCCTCTGCTGCTTCGCTACGAATTCTCTTTCTGCTATCCTTGACTCTTACCCGTGCTTTTGAATGTTCATTTGCGACTAACGTATTGCTCCTCGGAATATATAGCTCGAGATGGCAGACGGTGACACTCTCGAGGTGCACCAAGAACAAGTTGGAGGACGCCTGCTGGGATGACAACGCTGTGACGAGAGCGGGGGAGAAGTGACGATGATTTTGAGTACGAGGGAAAGACGAAGCGGAATACGGAAAATGGAAAGATGCTGTGCGCGCATCTGAGCTGGGTAATTGGGTTCACATTCTATCCCACATACTATCTACCAATGACTTGTGTAATACATTAGAATCAAGAGGAGAGAGAGAGAGAGAGAGGGAACTTGCTTTTCTACGACGGCCAATTATGGCCCCATGCTTGTCTTCACGCCTGTTCGTCCGTTCATACGAAAGTGGCGAACTGACTGCTTCGCGGAGACGGAAATGATATACGAGATGAAAATGCAATTACAAGCCATAAACCAGGTTCACCTATTTCAATCACTATATCCCAATGCTATTAATCCCAGTGTCGCCCCCATGATAGAAACGCCTCATCAAAAATGCATACACAAAATCCGTAAACGGCATCATCGTATCGTATTGTTTAAAACTTGAGCTCCCTGGCTCTACACTTGGTGCAGAGTATAATCGCCCCCGTTGCAGTCTCTTTGGGGAATATCTGCCCATCATCAAATCCTCCCTTGCACTCAGCACAGCGGAAGCAGTGCTCATGCCATTCACCACCAAGTGCCTTGATATACTGGCCAATCACAGCGGTCTTGCACATCTTGCATTTGGGCGCACGACGTTCGGTTCGCTTCGTTTGGCAGTTAATGCACCAAGCGTATCCGTCCTTTTCGATATGCGTCATGCCGTGCTCGAACGGGTCGCCACACTCGGCACAGAAGAAGTGCCCGTAATGCCAATGCGCCCCAAGAGCTACAATGTGCTCCCCGAGGATGGGGGTTTTGCAGTGCTTACAGCGTGGGGCGAAGAGTTCGTGCCAGTCGAGATGGCAGTAGAAGCGGAGGCGTTCATCTCCGTCTTCCGCCATGGTCATGCCAGGCTTCTCATCCAGTATCTCTCCCGCTGCGCGACGCCGAATTCTCTCCAGTCGCTCAGCCCGCGATGCGTCTGGCTCTGGAGAAATCTCCATTGCCTCAAGCCGAGTATTGCAAGTATAACAACGGAAGCATTGAGGATGGAATCGCTCGGAGGAACCAGCCAATGCCACAAATTTCCCTTCGATAGGACGCTCACACTGATTGCAGAGAGTCCCTGTTCGGCCACCAGCTGCAGCTGCAGCTGCAGCGGCGCCTGGAGCTGGAGCTGGGGACCAGTGACCCCGTGGTCCACGACTTCCTGGTGTCGGAAGAGGGCGAGAGCCTCTTACGGGCGAATCCTTTGGCGTCGAAATGCTGGGAACCTTGCGGGGTTCTGGCGCTTCGTCCACCGCAATGGAAGGAATGTTGATCGTGGGCGTTGGTCTCTTCGAAGTCTCTTCTGGTTCCGCTATCGAGATCGACGGGACGCTCGCGCTCGTTTGCGCTCTTGGCCTTGGCGAAGGGTCTTCCGCCACAACGATGTTAGGGATATCCACAGGCCGACTTGGATTTTGGGTTGTGGACTGAGGCTGCGCTTGTGACTGGGACCGGAAGCGGCTTGATGCTGGGGTCGACGAGTTTGGTCGGTCTGAGCTGGCATCAGTGGACGAGGACTCCTCCGGGGCTTTCCAGTTAGCATCGAAGCTTACAATGGGCCTTCCAGGGCTGTCGCTGACTGCGGTAGGTTCCGGTAGTTTAGAGCTGCGGTCTTTGAGCCTCATGCTAGTAGCTGCGCGGATATCATCGCCGCGGATCTCGACTCCATTGAGACGCTGCGCATCAGGGAGCGGCTGTGCGGCGGAAACAGGAGCGTTGACCTGATACTGGGCGTTGCGAGATCGTGTTGGAGGATTCCTGTGAATTTCTACCCTCTCCAATCGTTTGGTCGGGCTGGAATCTCCTTGGAAGCGTTGAAAGGGATTGCGTCTCACAGCATTCGAAGGCTTGGATTTGAGTGAAACGGGAGAATCCTTTTGAGGAGACGTCGTTGGCGTGGACGCCTCGCCCGACTGAGCTTCGGGTTCTTCCCATATCTGGTCACCAGAAAAGGGCCGCTGAACTTCTCCACTGATATTCCTTTTCATGCTGCTACGCCTGCCGCCCGTGAAACGCCCCCCGACGCCCCCATACGACTTTGCTTTGGTCGGAGACTCTTCGGATCGGGCTGCCTCTTCGGGGGAATCGTTTCTTTTGGGGCTGTTGTCCCCTTCAGATGAGGTCGATGATGGCGATTGCACTTCGGAATACGAGTTCCTGTTTGAGTTGTTCGCACCAGTTGACCCACCCCCTGTCACGGTCGCTGCCCGAGCATGTGCGTAGCTGTCTTTTCTAAGGTGTGGTCGATACAGGTACGCACCGTCCGGGGGCCGAGGCTTGACGCCGTGCTGGTGTTCCCACACGAGCTCAGCAGCCTCGTTGAGAGCAGCGTTGTAGATGCGAGTGTCATCGTCTTCGATGGCAGCGTCAGGGGCAGGGGTATTCTTCCTGCTCTCCCGAAAGTCCAGTTCTTCCATGGCATCTCGTAGTGACGAAGCTTCTTCTCTTTCCATCCAACGCTGGCCTCGTTCCATGTAGCTAGCGGTAGGCACGACTGTATCTGGCTTCAAGGGGGGCGGCGTCGGAGTGGTAGGGTAATAATCACGGCTTTTAGTACTAATCATGGAAATGCGAGTTGAAGCCGTGCTTCCCCCAATGAGGCTGGGCGTGTGTGACTGCGATCGTTGATGGCTGGCATGTTGAGCAGGAGTGTCTGGCGATGTTGTAGATGCGTCGTAGCTGATCTGGCTCATGCTGTTCCGGTTTATCTGCGGTCGAGTGCTGGGAGGCGGAGGCCTGGCACCGCTGGGCCTTCCCACGGGCTTGCTTCGAAGGTTTGCGAGGTAGCTTGCTGTTCATGACAGTGTAGATTAGCGACCAGCCCGAACCATTGGTCAATCTGCCGCTTCTGCCGTACCGAATTCGTCTTTGGACATGTAGGAGGGCGACGGCGGTGTCCCCCTACTCGACCTGACCTCGCCAGATTGCCGCATTTTGTCCTGCCCTTTCTTCTCCTATTTCTCGGGGATCGTCACGAAACAAATAATAATAAAGCGAAAAAGAGATAAAAATGTTAGTATCAGAGGGATGCTACGGCAGTTTTAAGCGTGCAATGGACGTGCTGTCGCAGCACTGGGAGGCCGGCGGTGAAGTAGAGAGGTCGCATGCGAGGCGTGACGTTTTGTATGCAAATAAGAAGCGTTAGGTGCTCGGTACTTTGCACCTAGAATCGAGCCAGCGGTCGATTTTAGCGGGGGTTGACGGGGCAACCCTTGGCATGTTCCGAGACAACCCCAGACTAAGGCCTGTAGCGCTGGCTAGCAGCGCTGTGTGCCTGTAATCTGGACCGCTAGTCGGCAGGACGGTAGCACTAGTCCATCCAGCTCAGATATAACGCCACCCAGAGTCTGAGCTGGCATGGCACACACTCGTTATAGCACGGTACAGCACATCACAGCAACAATAGGTCGATTGGCACGATACGGCACAGGGCACGATAAAGGGAGAGAAGAGATTTGCTAGCAGGGGGGGCCTATAATACAGCTGGCGTGGAAAGTTCCAGATCGCCGCCAGAATATGTACAGATACGGCTGGGCAATGTCACCATGGGAACGACCAATGGCTTTTCCTCCCCCTTTGCACTCCATGCTTGCTGGCGGCGTGACGACCAGGGGGCGCCCACTCGATTTTGCTACCACCGGAGTTCGCCTTTGACGCCCTTTTCTGGCTCTGGGGCCTTAGCCGGCGGCCCAGGCTCTTGGTAGCCGAGATTCTTGAAGTCGTCCCGCAACATCAGGTTTCTTAGTTTCGCCGACATGTTAGCCCGCATCTTGCCTCACACGCTGCGTCTTGGTTTTTTTCTTTCTTTACCTGTCCATTCTGCACGACAGATACGCCTTGGCCAGGTTGCGGCACTCGTCTTCATTGACGCCGCGGACCTTTTTCATGCAGGCCAGGTAGCTGGTCATGGCCTTCTTGCACTCGCCTATCATAGTTAGATTTGATTTGATATTTGACGGCGATCTGGGCCAGCCAGGAGAGGGCGGCAATTTAGACTGGGAAAATTACAGCAGGCTTACCATCGTGGTCCAAGGGGAAGCTCCCTCGCTGTGGCCTATGGGGACGGCGGGTCAGCAACTCCTGAGCTGGACGTCAAATCAGCGTCGAGGGAACACGTACGGGGTTGGCCTCGTCTGTGGCAGCGCTCCAGGACTGCCGTATGTGCTCATTTCTCGAGGTGCTGCACCAGGGGCATGTCCCTTTTTCCTCTCGTCTTTTTTTTCGAGACGAGACTTGAAAGCGTCTCTGTCTCGCATGATGGTTGTAGAGGTGTGGGGCCCGACCCCGATACAGCGGCACGCATCGCTTAGCTAAGCCTGGATGTGCCGCTTAGCAACTCGGGTGGCGAATCAGGCCGCATAGCTGCATATTGGGAAGACAACGGCCGTGATTCGGAGGGCCTCTTCCGCGCATACCTACGGCGGAAGTATTTCTACTTGCCTGCATTTATCCTGCTGTATCAGCCAAGCAGGCAGCATCATGAGCAAGCAGTCCATCAACGCGCAACGGGCGCTAGCAACAGCAATGCAGGCTTGACGCAGAAGCCTGCGCAGATTCTCGCCGCCAATCCCTCTCCCGTGCTCGCATGGCTCCTACGGGGCCTTGAACGGACCATTGGCGTCGTGACACACTGCAAGCCAACTCAACCGCTAGCTGCAGGGCTGTCGTGTTCTGTCGACGACTGTATCCACAGGCGCCCAGCCAGAGATGACCAGGAATCGGCGGCTGTCTGGTTGGCTAGCTAGCTAGGATGAACTTCTCGCTCCATCAAGTCGGAAAGCATCGTGACGCTGCGCTCCGCTCTCTGCCTGCTTTCCGCCCTTGAATCATGGACTCTCAACTCGCAATGGACCACGATGCATCCTCTTTGGCGAAGCCCGATTTGAGAAGTATCACAGTCAGGTGAGCGGTGTCTTGTGCGGTATGGTTGATGTCTTGTCCACCGACAACGCAGCTTCCAAGCTTAGAGCCTCAATACATAGATGCTGAGGCACTAGCAGTGGGTTTACCGAAAATCGTCGCCAGAGCTAATCAAGGATCATGGCTCGACATGCTATCAGCACCTTATGCTGGCCATGGAGACCGACCAAGAAGCCCTTCTGTTGAACACGCTAGAGCTGACTTGAACCTGAACCACGCCTGGTAGCATCTGTACAACATGATGTCGGCTCGGCGCATAACATCTGATATTGAACTATATCTGGCAGCTGATCAATGCCCTGAAACGCTCGCCCGGAATGCTAAGCTTCAGCAAAACAAGTTGACTAGTAGGTAGTAGTAGTATGCAATGATATAGTATAGAGAAAAGACAAACCGTAAACAGCCCTATCCTAGAGAAGTCTCACAGAAAAACAAACCCCAGTCGCTTTGTCGTAGAGGGTAGAGCCCCATGTTTGTCTCAAAGACCTATTGAACAAATGGAAAACTGCCAAAACAAAGTTAGATCTGGCACTTGTCTGTGTGACAGCGCTGACTCCAGTTGGGCTTCTACTTAATTCTTCGTTTGTTCCAGTGGCTCTTTGTTATCGGTATCGACCAAGGCTTTGGACGAAGGGAGACGCTGTCCGAGGTTCTCTGTACTGCCTTCTAGACGCCGATCTGCATACAGCCGCGGCGTACCTGGTACTTGTGGCGTTCTCTATGCGCTGCGGCAAGCCATTAACGAGACCCACCTCGTTACACGTGAATCCAATACGTAGTGCCTTGGTTCGCTCAAACAGACCCAAGCAGCCATTTGCTTCTCTCCAATTGATAGCCTGCAAAAAGCCACAGCGCAAGTCGTCGCATTGCCTGTGCGTGCCTGTATCGATCGTCTGGAGGCATCAGTGCTGCTGTATCATCCTGGTAGCCTCGTCTGATTGAGTCGTCTGACTGCGCCGCATTCAAATCGAAACGAGAGCGAAAAATCCAGAAAAGGCTCCCAAGACGCCGCTGCAATGGCCGCCCTCGGCGAAGATCTACTCTCCACGGTCAACAAGCTGCAGGACCTGGTGTTCAACACCATCGGCAGCGACTCGCTTGATCTCCCGCAAATTGTGCGTGGCTGCAAAATCCCCAATCCTCGTCTCCCCGCTTGCTGCTAATGCCCCGCCGCTCAGGTCGTCGTGGGATCCCAGTCCGCCGGAAAATCTTCCGTCCTCGAGAACATCGTCGGCCGCGACTTTTTGCCTCGAGGCAGCGGCGTTGTGACTCGACGACCGCTGATCCTTCAGCTCATCAACATCATAGAGGACGACGAGCCTGGCCCCGATCCCTACAACGACCCCTACCGCTCGCCTGGAGCTGCGCGCCGCGGAGAATGGGCCGAGTTCCACCACATCCCCAATCGAAGATACACCGATTTCATAGATGTCAAGCGAGAAATCGAGAATGAGACGTCTCGAGTTGCCGGCACCAACAAGGGCATCAACAGACAGCCCATTAACCTGAAAATCTACTCGCCGCATGTCCTCAACCTGACGCTGGTTGACCTCCCTGGCTTAACCAAGGTTCGTCTTGCACCTCTGTTTTCCATCTGCTGTCTCCCCGCCCTGCTTTGCTCTTTTTTTCGGCTAACCTGGGAGGCATAACGTATAGGTACCAATTGGTGATCAGCCAAGTGATATTGAGAAACAAACGAGAAACTTAATCTCCGAGTACATCGCCAAGCCAAACAGTATCGTCCTGGCTGTCTCACCGGCCAATGTCGATCTCGTCAACTCGGAGGCTCTGAAGCTTGCCCGGCATGTGGATCCTCTCGGCCGGAGGACCATCGGCGTTCTCACCAAGCTCGACTTGATGGACCACGGCACCAATGCTCTCGACATTCTGTCCGGCCGAGTGTACCCGTTGAAGCTCGGCTTCATTGGCGTGGTGAACCGCTCCCAGCAGGATATTCAAGGCAACAAGCCCATGGATGATGCTCTGAAAGCTGAAAACGAATTCTTCAAGCATCACCCGGCTTATCGTAACATCTCTAGCCGATGCGGCACCCACTTTTTGGCCAAGACGCTTAACACGACTCTTATGGCACACATTCGAGAGCGTCTGCCCGATATCAAGGCACGTCTCAACACTTTGATGGGTCAGACACAACAGGAGCTCGCCGGTTATGGCGACATGCATTTTAGCGGAAAGGAGCACCGAGGCTCTTTGATTCTGCAGCAGATGACGAGATTCGCAACCTCATTCATCTCCTCGATTGACGGTACTTCCACCGAAATTTCCACCAAGGAGCTTTGCGGTGGTGCCCGTATCTACTACATCTTCAACTCTGTTTTTGGAAGCTCATTAGATACCATTGATCCCACGTCAAATCTGTCAGCATTGGATATTAGGACGGCAATCCGCAACTCCACTGGTCCTCGACCCAGTCTGTTCGTGCCCGAAATGGCTTTTGACCTTCTCGTCAAGCCCCAAATCAAGCTTCTAGAGATTCCTAGCCAGCGCTGCGTCGAACTCGTTTACGAAGAACTCATCAAGATCTGCCACACTTGCGGCTCAGTAGAACTTTCTAGATTCCCGAGGCTCCAGGCCAAGCTTATCGAGGTTGTATCAGACCTCCTGCGAGAGCGGTTAGGCCCTTCCTCACAGTATGTTGAGTCGCTCATCTCGATTCAACGTGCATACATCAACACAAACCACCCCAACTTCTTAGGCGCAGCAGCAGCAATGAGCAATGTTGTCAGCGCTAAACAAGAGCGGGAGCGCAAGAAGTTCATTCTGGAAGAGCGTGAACGCCGAGAGAAGCGACGCCTCAAGGAGGTAGGCCCCAACGGCACAGACGCGCACGAAGACAGCGAGGACAGCCCGGTTGCTGAGCGGGCAGAGCAGCCCAACCTTCGCAAGCTCGCAACGTCAAAACCTTCAAGGAGCATGTCGCCAGCCGTCCACCAAGACGCCATGGTCGGCCTCGGAGCATCTCTGAATGGCATTCGCCCGTCATCTCCAGGCATGAACGGCGGACAAGGCATTGGCGGCACCCGCGATACGTTTTTGAACTATTTCTTTGGCAAAGATGGCATGACGCCTGTGAGCGCCCCCATCACTCCCACTACCAACGGCAGACACACCAGCCACCCTTCCGAGCCCAGCTTCTCACAAAGTCTGCGGCGTGAAGAGAAGCTGCCAATCCGGACAGCTCCCCCATCTGTTACAGATGATTATGACCCGTCATCTCGTAGCTATGGCCTAGCATCACATCTGGTAATTCTTACACCCCTCAGCCTTTCCCTCCATTCATCCCAACTAACTTGACTCCTCACAGGGCGAATCTAACGAACCTGCCATGACCGAGCGCGAAGCCATGGAAACAGAGCTCATCCGCGCCCTCATCTCCTCCTACTTCAACATCGTCCGCGAGTCCATCGCCGACCAGGTCCCCAAGGCCATCATGCACCTCCTCGTCAACCACTGCAAGGACGTTGTCCAGAACCGCCTCGTCAGTGAGCTCTACAAGGAGGCTCTCTTTGAGGAACTCCTCTACGAGGACGACGGCGTCAAGAAGGAGCGTGAGAAGTGCGAGAAGCTGCTCCAGACGTACCGCGAGGCGGCCAAGATTATCGGCGAGGTTTTGTAAGACAAAAGCCAAGATGAAAGAAAAAGAGCAATTGGAAAAAAAAAGAGAAAATCAAAATTTTTGCTAGGAAAGGGCGAGAGACCATTTTCGTCTTCTTTGTCCTACGTTCTTTTCGCTTTCAATGTTTTCTCCCCCTCACAATACACGGCTCCAATAATACCTTTCTTTTGGTGTGTTTGTTGCAAAATATCTGGGGAATGAAATAAAAGGGGAGGCGGAAGGCCACAAATGTCTGTATAGGAAAATCAAGTCAACAAACGAGGCGGCGGATTTACGACGACAAGAAAAAAAAGGTGATCAACGAAGGCGTCACGGGGTTTTCACTGAAGGTCAAAAGGCTAGGTAGGACGGGGGAAAAAAAGAGGGAAAAGAAACAAGAATTGCCTCTTTTTGTCTTTTTTCTTTTTAAAAAAGTAAAAAAGGAGAAGAGGGAGAGAGAGCTGGAGAGCAGTGTACGATGGCGCATTTTCCTTCCTTTTGAAATGTAAACAACTGTACATGATGGCAATGGCGCCGGAAGAAAGGGGAAGAATATCCGCGACCATGGCTGCAAGCGATTTCTATATCTTCTATAACTACACCACTCGACTTTGTTGTCACGTCTCCAATTATCAGAAATATACTTTTGACCGTATTAGTTTATGCGATTATCTATATGATGAGCATGTCTTGAAATGCCAATATCCCTAGCTGTGATGTATACCTGTATGTTATTCCTTTTCCCCTTGTGGTATACCCTCCATTTCCCTGCTGAAAAGCTCTTGCTTGTATATGCGTAGAATGCCTTTTCCGATGCGCCCAAAAACAAAGAAAGCAATAATTCCATTTGCCAACCCTACTAATCTATAATTCATCTCAAATTCCTGGCCTTCTATTGGCCAATGCATATCGTGAAGCATAAGAACCATATGCTCGTTGTGGGGCAATACTTCTGTGCGGTTCTGGATGGGTATAATCGAAACGTTCTGCAGTTGGAATAACTCTGTACTCCCGCATCATAGCTGGATGTTGCGTATAATAGCCATTCGACGCATGGCGTGCGTCAACTCTATCATGTCTATCATATGATGAAACAGATCCACCATAGTGGTAGAGGCGTGCGGAAGGAATCGGCTGGTGGTGGCCACTGGGAATATAGTAACTGCCATCCAGTCCGTTTCCAAATTCTATGTGGCTCTGTGCCCTTTGAATCTCCATATCCGGATAGTAGGGATATTCGTCTGGCTCTTCTACCACTTGAGTGTCGTGCTCAACATGTGGGTGGAAAGAGCTCCAATGTCTTCCTGACTCTGGCCCACCTTCTCTAGGGCTAAAAGTCTGTGAGTTGGTGCGAGACGATCCCCAAACTGAGCTGCCCTCGGTGGCCGTGCGATGTGCTCTTACTCTATCAAACGGTTCGTAAATCTGAGGCATTCTCTTACTTATGCCCGCCGCCCCAGCGACAACAGAATCATATCTTGCTTGCTTTTGAATTGTGTCTGATCTGTCGTAGACAACACTGGCTGGCAGAAGTCTCGGTACATCTCCGTGTAAGTTTTCATCGCGCTGATAGATTTTCTGCCCAGAAGCTGCATCCCCTGCCTCCAAGCCTTTGTTGAGAGCGTTCGACGAGGTTGGTAAGGGGCAATCTTGGCTTGTTTCTCCCTTACTTGTAAATAGCCATGGCAAAGCCTCTGAAGTTAGTTTAAAAGCGCGTTTGCTCTCCCAAACTTTTGCTCGCAGGTCTTGGGAAATCTGCAAGTCCGGGATCGAGATCAAATCAACGCGCCAATCTGTCAGCGAAGTCCTCCCTTTCTCATGGACGTCATGGAAGTGCTTGGCTAAACCAGGAAGCGTAAATAAACCCTTCTCGTCTTCATCTCGCGCCTGCGACAACATGCAAATTTTGCATGTTAAGCCATGGTAGGTGGCAAGGGCAGAAGAAGATTTGAAGTGATTCAAGACGTGCACGAATGTGTCGAGGGACACAAGTTCCGGATCATCTTCTTGTAAAACTTTAGCGACGTGGTAGATTGAGACAAATATCTTGACCGAGAAGGACATGTTTTCGACGTGTTTCATGATCTTCCACACGCTTTTTATAGCTTTTGCCATGGCATCGATTCTCGGCTTGTATGCATCGTCTACCTCTGTAGTCTGAGAGGAAGGCGACTTGGAGTCAACATTAGACACTTGCTGGATCGGAGATGATCCGAATGGAATCTCTCCGGGCCATTCAACTCTCAAACGGTCACGCATTTTCTTCCCTTTCTGGCCAGGCTTCGGAGCGTGCTTCGAAAGGTAGTGTTGGATAAAAGCGTTGAAACCAAATCGTTTTCTGGATTTTAGGCATCTTTTGCAAGAGAAAAGGTCCTCATCAGTATCTTTAAGTACTCGCCTAACTTTGTGATCAAATATCCACACCATGTCGCCCAAAGTCAGCTTTGGCGCCAAAGAAGTGGTATTCTTTTTCGAGAACTCCGCATAGTAATGTTTGTGAACATAGGCCAGCAGATCGATGGTGAATTGAGCATAATCATTCTGCTCAACACTTTGGCCTTCGCTCAAATGATCGCCGATGAATTGGTCCGTGAGGGTTGTTATGCGAATCTTTGCAAGTGTTTCAGCATCATGCTCGCCTTGAAGCGCAGTCTCTGTGCTTTTCTTGGCTGTACTGTTGGCTTGGTGTTTTTCGGAACCCTTAGCAGCTGCCGCACTTTTTCTCTCCGCTCTTCTCACCTTTTTATACTGAGACATGAGCTGTTGTTTTAGATTATTCCACTCTTCATCGCGAAAGGGCTCAGCTTTCTCTAAAGAGATCTGGAAAGATGGAAGATCGACCAGAACATCTGGAGGTATGGGAGGCTGAAGCCGCTTTGCTCGGCATTCTATATCCGCTCGTCTCTGGGATTTTAGTTCTTCTGTTACCTCTCGAGCTCGTCGCATTGGGCGAGTGGTGGCTTCATAGTTCTTGAGCGCGCCACGGGTAGTGGGCTGTGGCGGAGTTGAAGAGGAGCGGATGAGCATCTGGCTAACTCCTCCAGCCAAATAATACTTCTCCCATCGTAATGCTTTATGAATGGTGTCTGCGCCACGAGCCTCTAGACCCTTAATCCATTCTTCAGCCGCCGCAGGACCAAATCGCTTGACATCTTCAAATTCTAATCGAAGACTCTCCACTTGGGTGGGCCAATATGTTCTCGTTAGCGGAACAGAAGTAGGCACTTGGGTAGTTTTTATCGACTGTGTATAGACTACGTTGAGATCAGGAGTCAAAAAGGCCATAGGAAGTCCGGGTATAAGAACTGAAGGTATGGATGTTGACAACAGCACATCAACTTCCTACAGATACGCATCAGCCTCTTGGTAGTATTCAGAGTTTGATCTGGCATTGCACTCACTTTGACGCTTGTCTCAGCCAAACATTTCCCACAAGAGTTGACGAAGAAAACAAATATCGGCGAAACAGTGTTGTTGCCAGGCCCACGCCGCCACGGTAAGGATTCCCAGGCGACATTAGTCTCATCTATCTGGCCACATATTTGGCAAGACCGTGAGCAGGCAAACCGCCACATGTCTAGATCAGATTTCCCTGAGAGGGGTGCAGGCATCCTTGGCCAAAAGAGACATCTTGACGCCCGCCATATGGCGTCGGGGAGAAGCGCAGGTACTATGGAAGGCACGCGAAACTCTGGAGCAGAAATCGTGAATGGGGATGCAGGATCGAGATACTTATTGAACAACTTGTTGACCCGCAGCAGGGTTCCAAGCGTATGCGGCGGCAGGAAGGAGAAGATATGCTGCCACACCTCCGCTGGGAGTTGCAACGACACATCGTGATGAGAAGCTGGCAAAGAGCCAAAATCAAGAGAGCCTTGGTCAGCAGAGACGTTCTTGATCTTCTTGGGCGGTCCATCTCCAGCTGGATTGGGGACACTCATTCTCTTCCTCTTCCGTCCGGCATTGCTTGGAGACACCATGATGCTGCCGTTGTCCGATGAACCAAGTTGGTGAAGCGAGATCAAAGAGCTTCCACGCGGGACTTGCAGAACACCTCCAACATCCCGTGGAAGTAGCAGACTCGCGTCCGCTACATGCTCTTGCTGATCGTCGTCCATAGTTGCATCGAAAACGAGAAGCCAGCGTAAATGAGAAAATGCACAAACAAGACTGCGGCGTAACAGACCAAGACGCCTGGAAAATTAGAATGGAACAATATCCAGGGTCAGCCCCTGCTGGGAGTTCTTATGAAGATTCCTTGTGCACGGGGGCAGGCACGAAGGAAAATCATCAGGGAGAAGCTCTGACTGCAGCTGCAGAGAGTGTTTGGGAGAAAAAGCATGGAAAGAGAAATCTGCTCTCAAGAAACATTCAATACTTTTTTTGTGTGTGTTGCAGCAGTGACAAGGTCACGTCAGCCTGTTAACCAGGGGTGCAGGCATTGGCGGAGAGTGGCAGCTGGCATCTGAATTGATGCTTTTTATCGATTAGACATGACTAAGCAGCGCTTGGCGCAAATCTCTCAAAAGCAGCGGCACTGCTCCCGAAATTGTGGCCATGACGTCACACTGTCATTCTACGAGCAGCATGTTATCACATTGAGAGTGAGACCGTCTTCAATAATCATATGGAGAGAAGGGTAGATTTTGCATAGTTAAGAGTACCTATAGCTACAAACAAGTCCCTGTATAGAAGCGTTGCATTCCTTATCCAGATATTCAAAAACCCGAGTACACTTGATAACGAATGTGAGCTATCTTACACATAAGATTGTCCAAAATATACAAGTAGATTTACTGCTGTCCGTTCATCGAACCATCACCAAGCCCCTGTTCTGGAGAGGACTGGTCGCCAGAGCCGTAGATCTGGAAACTCTGATCAGCTCCCCAAGTTGTCATTTGTGCATAATTTTCAAATGCCCCCTATCGCAGAAGATTATGTTAGCAAATATCCACGTCGAATGTGCGAAAAAAGAGGAGGATAAAGATGGTAATTGTAGCCATACCCAGTCAAAATTGGACGCCAGGTCGCCCGCTCCGCCCGCTCCACCTAGATTGGTAAACATGGAGAGCGGAGAGGCAGGGCCACCGGCGTTGAGGCCATCAAATTGAGGGAATTCGGCCGCGTTTCCGGCTCGAACACCAAAATCCATACCCATAAAGGCGGAGCTTTGCGTAAAGGGATCCTGGCCACCAAAGCCAGGCATGCCAATGGGGGTACCAAGACCCAAGGACGAAGGCGTCTGATCCATTGCTGTGCCTACAATTGAAGCAGACAGAGAGTCGGATAGAGATGAGTCGCTGTTGGGGTCCATAGCTTCTCCAGAAGGCGATTTAATCTTTTCCAACATGATTTCGATAACTTTACAGGCCTTGAATGCTTCCATCGAAGTGTTGGCAAGATTTGCCCATATACCCTTGGCAGTCTCGAGTGTGCCAATCATTTTACTTCGCTGCTCCTCAGTGTATCTGTAATTGCTCTCATCCGCAGGAATAGATGATCGTGCTGCCATGTTATCATAGTGAAGGTCTAGAACAAGGAGCATGGCCGGCAGGGTAAATTCCTTCGTTGCAATGGATTTGATATACCATGAAACGGAACGTAGCCGCCCGTTTCCTTGAGACTCGCGATGGAGTTTGGCTAGATGGTCCATTGCTTGCATCGAGGCCTCGATAGCACTTCGCCGCGAAAACGCATATCTCGAGTTATGCCGAGCCTTGGAGAGATATTTCCGATGTAGTAGGCAAAGCATTTTTTGGTACAATATATCGATGTTATATCTTGCGATGATCAAGGTCACTGGATCTTGGGATGTATCCAATGAGCCAAGTCTGAGATGGGGAGGAAGCTCCTGCATCACCTGGCGAAGCTTTGCGTCAAATCGAATAATTTCATCGTATGAGACCGGTCTCCCCACCAAATTTGTAGCCTGCAAGATGTTGCCTAGCTCATTGCAGAGCCTCACCTTGGCAATCATGTAGGATATCGGCGTCGGTTCCGAAGCAGGGCGGGATGGGGGCAATTCCTTGATATCAGGGTGAAATTCATCGTCAAACAGGTTATTCGGAAGCTGGGTATCACAGTCATGCTCATAAATCATGTTGGGCAACGACACCTGATGTGAAAATACGACATCCGACATTCGGACCAGCGCCCACGCTCTTCGTCTCATTTCCTGCATCGTCTTATGTTAGTCTTTTTTTCGGTCTTGTTGTTTATTACAACGCGGCATTGGAAATATCACTCTTCACTTACAGCTTGAAAAGGGGTAATGTTGGGAAACCATTTCGCATCGCGATGGTATCCCATGCGGAAGGCTATCCTCGTTATGACGGAAACAATCAACCAGAGGCCAAGATCAGCATCCCACCGAGACGAGTATTCTCCAAAAACGTATAGAAGCATGGCTTCAACTGTGTACTCGACTGGTTTTGTGTAGTCCGCCTTGATCAGACATTGGACAGTGCGTAGCCGATATTCAGAAGCCAATTCCAAAGTTCGACCCCTCCACTCAGGAGGCTCATCACCAACCTTGTGGTAGCTCAGCATGGCAAGGGTAAGCACGGAATACAAGAGGCCCAGCCACATGATTGGTGTTTTTGACGGGTCCTCCCAATGCTTTTTCAACTGCTTGAAAAAGGTCGGCCCGTGTATTATGCAAACAGCGTTGTCCATGGAATTGAAATAGCGACTGCACAAAGTCAGAATACTTGACTTTGGGGGCAGCTCCGCGCGGAGTTCAATCTCAGACGCTGGCAGGGCACCAAGTAACAATGTCGGCCCTTCCCGCGCAGCTATAGGTTTTGAGTTCCTGACACGCTCATAACTCGTCTCTAGCTCCTTCTTGTGGAACATGAAATAGTTTTTCACCTCGGTAATGTCGGACAATATCGTGTGCCAATGCTCTTGGCCGATATACATCGACTTGCCCTTGTCAGAGTCGACCTTTAAAACACCGAGTGAAGCTGCGAGGCTCTCTTCCACGTCGCTATCATCCTCGGCCATTGTTACAGCCTCGTCACGGCCGGCTTTGGCCGAAGAGCTGCTGTCAGTCAATGACTGCGACGTAGAAGCAGCGCGGCCGGCCGCGGAGGCTGTAGCAGGATCTATATTAGCCCCGCCATGCATCAAAGACAACACAAGGCCCTCTAACCGGTCGATCCTGTTCTGCATATCATCGGGAGTGGCGTCGGCCTGGTTCTGGCTCTTCTTGCGAGTCACTGGAGCCGCATAGGAACATGATGCCGTATCGTTGCCCTCCCGCTTGGTGCAGTTACTGCACGGGTGGTTCCGATCGCATTTCCTATGTCGTGTTAGCTAGTAAAAGAACGGATGGATGCCGCTGGCTGTCGCCCTTGCTATGCAAGATCATGCGGCCAGAAACTCACAATCTACATAACCGGTTAGCACGCCTACACTCTCGTCTATGTACAGCCCGGAGGTTAAGACGTACTTTCTTGTCCTGCACGGATAGCAGCTCAGAGGCACACGGTTTCTTTTCCTCACAACCCGGAACTGCTCCTCGGGGGAGCGACCCCCAGTAGAGGAGTTGGTCGAAGGCGGAGTGGGCGTCATTGCGGAAGAGGAGGAAGTTTGGTGGTTTTCGTAGTTGCGAAACGTCGTCGACTGATGAGGCGATTCGGACTTAAGGATCGCGCCGAGATATTCTTTGATCTTCAGCCGGCCTCACAAGCGGCTTTCCGGTTATGAATGATGCGGCGCATATATTAGACCTCTGAAGATGTTGGCGAGAGCAAACGGAGGCAGCCTGTCAATTGCTTGAAGCCAGGCCAATATGAACAAGATACCGCGACGGTGGGTGCGACTCGGCAGTGAGGGTTGGACGTTTAGACGATCTGCCGACAGCCGGGAGAAAAGCGCAGCATGAGCCGGAAATAAATGAGATGGTGCTGTCTGGAGCTGATTTGTAAAGAACACGGAATTCTCAGCAACGGTCACCTGATTTCGGGCGCGGGATTGGACGATTGTTGCTGGTCGTCGCTGGGACTTCACGACGAGCGGGCAACGGATTTGACCTGGTGGCTTTGGCTGGATAACAACTGAATGAATTGCGTGGGAGGCGGAGAGGGGCGCCTGAAGCGTGTATGTAGCGTGGGAGGCAGAGCACAGACAGCAGAAAGCGTCGAGTTGTTAGGGGCGAGCTGGTTTGACGAGAGTTTGTGGCATCGGAGATAAGTTATAGCAGAGGAAAGCGATCGAGCGATGAAGTCTGGGAAGAAAAGATGTTTAGAAAGAAGAGAAGCGTCTGGTACCTCGAAATTATAATAAAGGATAGCCCCGAGGATCGCGGTGGTGGGGTGTCGAGACTGGTTCCTTTGCGTGATGCTATCAAGCGGTACTCGCCAACTTTCTCTTGTGGAGCCCTACGGCAGCTGCTATTAGACCCCATATATTAAGGGCACCCAATGGCAGTAGAGTTGCTGTAAGCAGAGTTCTCACGTAGTTGCAGGCTGATGGCATTTAGATGGGTACGAAAAAAGGTGTAATTGGTTATATGAAGTAAGATGCGGCGTCTGTTAGACATCTCTGTTGCTTTAGTGACTTGCTACTAGGTATGAGCCGGAACTCAGCTGGGCGTATTCTGATATCGCAGCTACAGCCTTCGATACGCCCAGCGGGAGGGAGCTCATCTCCAGATGAAATCTCAGCTTTGTCAGCTGCTTTTACCAAGTACCCTCTGTTAGTGCGGCATGTGGCAGCATTTCTAGCAACATTGAACTGACGGATCCGTTCGAGGGGAACCTTCAGCGGCGGCCCGGTTATTGATCCATGGCGCCAGCGTCCTCTATCTCGTCCGTCTTATGACATATTCGGCTAGCACTGAGCCTACTGCCGCAAGGAATCTCTGCCTGTACCACTGCGGAGGGCTGATGAAGCCCGGATTCCATGCCGAATGTCTACTGCACGTACCTCCAAACGAGCGCTCCATTAGAGCAGACGAGCGTATTGAGGGGAATTTCCAGCGAGATGAGCCCTGGCCGGACTTAAGCCGCGCCACAATCTTCGTCCCCTACAAGCCCAGATCGAGACAAGGCTCCAGCCAGTTTACGTATTGACGCTTGCGTTCCTGCAACTCTGTGACTCACCATGCGCGCTGTTGAATTTTAGCGGCCTTTGCTAGCGTCGCACCCAGCAAAGCGTTAGCGGGCAAGTTAGCACTGCAAGCCCCCTTATTTCCATCTAATGGTGTTGAGCGGAACCTGCGGCCGTGAGAGCTCCGTTCGAGTGCTACGCTGAATTTCGTACGAGCGGTGCAGCAGGCGGTCATCTGTCTCCTTGCTTGCAGATTGCGAGTGCTAGCGGCACTTGGTTACCGAGAGAACTGGGTGGACTTCGGACTGATGCGTGCAGACGGACCGATCCTGGTTTCATGCTGGGGTTGTCGAAACAGCTGATCGAGGATTGGTGCCATGTCACGGAGTTGACAGCTCTCATTTGAAAGCGGAAAACCTAGTATTTGAATGTTGACAGCCCAATTGCGCATCAATTTCTTCGAACTTGTACCCCTCTTACCTCTATGTGGATTAAACTAGTAACATCAATATGATAGGTATGCAGCAGATGTAATAGAGGCAATGGGAGCAGTCCAATACGCTGCTGCTATTCCTACCAAGAAAAAATATTAATATCTATTCCAGTCCTAGGTAGTATTCAAAACCGCCATTCACTTTGTTCAGATGCTAGTTGAGATGTTTGTTTACTTTATTTATAGATATTCAAGGCTACCTTGCAATTTTGTATCATCCTCTGCTCCCTTTCTCTCAGCAATAATCGAACACGATACATGCAGCCAACCACAGATGAACGACCTCCCCTACTCTTCGACGCGCACGCATAAAATTCCGGCTTATAGAACCCTCAGCAGCCACAATAAGTTCTGAATCCCAATCTCACTTGTATAACTTTCAAACATGCAAAGGCTGAATTTGCTATTGCTCTCTCGTTCCGATCCGGCCTCGCGCATATCCTGCTGCAACTCAGAAGTCGCATTGTTATGAATATCGTTATGTCCTTATTCTGTGATCGGTTGACTTCGGTTTACTCCAAATTGATCGCAGTCGGGAAGCTTGTATGCCAGGTGCCAGAGACAGAAATTCGACGAGAAGGTGTTGCCTGCACTTTTCTTTTATGTGTCTTTTATGACGTAGCTTCGACAGCGACGCTGTATGGCTTGAAAAAGTCGGTATCGCTGCTAAGCTCTTCCTTGACCTATTGATAACGTTAGTGCACATTCGTCTTCATGTGTTTATATGAAAGCAACATACAATATCCAAACCGCCTACAAGCTCGCCATCAATCCACAGCTGTGGGAAAGTTGGCCACTCAGCATATTCCTTGAGGCCCTGTCTGACGTCGTCGTCGGCGAGGATGTTGAAAAATCCGTATTTGACAGAGTTATCTCGCAAAAGCCCAACCAACTGTCGGGAGAAGCCACACTGAGGAGCGCTAGGAGTGCCCTTCATGAAGAGCATGACGGGAGCAGCCTTGACCAGATCGCCGAGGCGCTTGAACAGTTCCTCCTTTGCCTTGGCCGGGTCAACCTCAGCGGCCTCTGTAGGCTTCGAGACACCATTGGTTGCGCCGGCATCCTTTGCCGCAGCCGAGTCCTTCTTTGCGTGCTTCTCGATGGCCGTTCGGACCTTGACGGCGCTGCTGCCGCTGACGGTCTCGACGACCTCGCCGTTTCGTAGCAGAACAAGGAAGGGAACTGCCGTCACATCGTAGGTCTCGCTGATATCGCTAAGTTCTTCGGCATTGATGGACACCCACTTCGTGCTGGGAGGCTCGGTGACGGGATATTCGGATGCCAGTGTCGACAGGACAGTCGCCATCTGAGCACATGGTGCCGCCCAGGGAGCGTGGAAAGAGGCGATGACGAGCGTTGACGGAGGGGCAGAGCTGAGCACCTGCTGCCACTGTTCGTCGGTCTCGATCTCGGTTATCGTCGACATTTTTGTTGATCGGTCGAAATGTTGATCGTAAAACGGCAGATGATTTCTGTTTTTGCGTATGGGCGATGATTTGGGTATAAGAGCGAGAACCGGCGTTGTGTTCGGGATATCAAGGTTGGATTTTTAGCGGGGTAGAGTGATGGCGCAAGTGTAAATGGCCATCGCGCGCATTTGCAATTTGAAATCAGAGCCGTTGATACTTGTACCCCGGTGTATATCCGGTGTAGCATCTGATAGGCACACGAGCTGCCTTACATAAGGAATTTCTCTGTAACTGTCATTGTGATGATAGGTGACCTTCTCAAAAGTTTTAATTATCAAATCAACTGCCTATTTCAGGAAATGTAGATGATAAAGAGAAGCGTATTGTGCGCACCTATTAGTTATAAATTGCTTAGACCCGAAGTCTGCAGTCATCTCACATACCAAATTTGATCTCCCGACATGCTCCGGACAGGAGAAGAATTGGAATTCTAAGCGTATGGCTTCCAAGATAAACCAGGCTTTCCCGACGGAAAACTAAAGGAGCAGTTGCATGTTTGCCAGTGCTCGTATACGCCAACTGTAGTGCCCAAAGCGCGGCTACTCATTGATGTGCCTTCGTGCTCAAGCCTTCTCACCACAACAGGCGGAGGAGGAAGCGACGCCTATGTATACCTATCTGATCACTGCTACGAAGAATAAACTTAATTCGAAACGCTTCTTCAGATATTTTTTTATTGAGCTAAGATGCCATACGGAGAATATAAAAGAAGTCGTAAGGACCCCCGAAGAAATCGTACAGAATACCTCTCCCATCTCTGGGGAATCCACCCGATTGGCTACGATCCACAATTAGCCTCAGGTTGGGCACCCAGAACGAGTGTCGCTATTAATAGGCTGCAGTCGTAAAAAGTGGCTCAGCAGCAGCCCAAAGTCTCCAGGCTATCCAAACATGCAATTACTGATTCTTCAGTCGAAACCACCGAATGCCCTAGGTACCTATTGCGCGTCTATACATGTTTGTAACATCTTGATTCCAACGTTGAGGGAGGTGGGCCAAGCAACAGCCCGAGATTCCGATAGGGCGGCAAGGCACAGTTTCTGCTTGCAGCACAAGTGTTTATGCTCCCCTTGCATAGGCCTGGCGCTAACAAGTCTATTCTAGGCATTGCAGTAAACGCTACAATGATGCATGTGGTGTACCCGAGTAGAATTCAGCAAGGATGAATACAAAACCATGGTGATGGCAGCTAGTACTTGAACGAAATGTAGCGATATGTCGGCAGATTGGGGTGGTACTTGACAGAGGCCTCTATTACATCAACGAATTTGGATGCCTTCGCCCTCGGTAAAATAAAATCAAGTGAGATAATCTTATTTCCACAAACGGCGAAGCAGAGTTTCCAAATCAACTGCAAGCATAATATTTACGTTAATCTTCTGACGACGCTCATTGCGCCAGGCTTCCTCTTAAAACAAGCCCTCAGTCCTTAGGCAGTTGCGTTTTCTCAGGCACCAAAATTAACCTGCCACCTGCCACGCAGTGACAGCGCTAGAGAGCTGAAAGGCGGCGGTGCAGGCGGCGGCGAAGAGGGGCATTTGCGTCATTTGAGCTCCCCCCCAGCTGCTCCAGACCCGGTAGCTGCAACCCCCCGCCAGGGCCGCAGCTGTCGCCAGCAAATCCGCCGGGGCTATGCCTTTAAGCAGACGGGCTTATTCGTCCCCGCCTCAGCGACACGCAGCGTCGACGTACGTCCCGCCAGAGCATCCATCAGCTTGCCTGCCAGCTTGGCTCCTGAGTCCGCCACGAAATCTCCGGCCCCCTTTGCGCCCGATCTTTCTGTACCCGAAGCGAAGCCTCGCTCCTCCATAGCTGTGCTATTTATTGGGGTGCTGCTGCAATCAACTCGGCCATTGTGTGAGAGCCACCTTAGCCCGAACGCCTCGTAGCCTCCCCTGAGTTGCATGCTAACCGGCGTCGCTAGTCAGCGGAGCTCCTGGGACGCAATCCCTCTCCATCCACTCTTGACGACGACCTCCTTCTCTCCATCCTTCACCACGCCCACGATACCAGCCTCGCGATGGCGTCTCTCAACCTTTCCATAAACGGCCCCTCCATCAAGAGCAGCTACAATGCTGTTGTTGGCGGAGAAGCGCCGGCTTCCGGCTCTCCCACATATGCCCAGTGGGCGCTCTTCTCTGTCCAAGCTCCCCTGGCCAACGCCTTCCAGGACAGCGGATCCAAAGAGAGCATCCTCAAAGTCCAGAGCACCGGCGGTACGCGAGCCATTGGCGAGACCTGATGTTTGATGAGTGATGTCTCTCGGAATAAACATACTAACGCAGTAGTGTAGATGGCGACCTCACCGAGCTGATTGAAGACTTCAACGAGGGCCGAATCCAATTCGCCTTTGTCAAGGTCAAGGACCCCAACTCGGGCCTTCCCAAGTTTATTCTCATCGGCTGGTGCGGAGGAGGTGTTCCCGAACGCACAAAGGGCTACTTCACAAGCCACCTGGCTGCTGTCTCCAAGATTCTTCACGGATACCATGTCCAGATTACCGCTCGCTCCGACAGCGACCTCGAGCCTGAATCCATCATGCGCAAGGTCGCCGATGCGTCTGGTGCCAAGTACTCTGCCGGATCATCCGCAGGAGCTTTCGGATCAGCTCCACCGCCTGTCAAGGCCAAGCCAGTCTTCACTCCTTCATCGTCTGCTGGTCGTCCTGTTGACCCTCTTATTGCCGCTCGATCCAAGAAAGATTCCTCTGTCGATGCGGATGGCTGGGGAGCTGACGCTCCTCCCGTAACTCGAACCCAGATCGAAAAGGTCGCGCCTGCTTATCAACCTACCAAGGTGAATATTGCAGAGCTTACAAACCAGAAACAAGAGCCATCGCGCTTCACCGGCGCACCCCGACAGGATGCTCCCTCCGATGTTATTGGAGGCGGTTATCAGCCCGTAGGCAAGGTCGATATCGCGGCCATCAGAGCACAGGCTCAGAAGACCGGAGATGACAGACCCACGCCCGTCAAAGGAGCATATGAGCCAGTTGGCAAAGTCGACATTGCTGCGATTAGAGCCAAAGCACAAAAGCCTGGTGCAGCACCAGCACCAGCGGAAGAAGAAGAGCCAGCACCTCCAGCCTTCTCTGATCGAGCTGCTGCCTTCTCGCAGCCAAGCGCAGGACGGCTGACTTCACTGCCCAAGCCTACTGTCGCCAAGAAATGGTCCGGAGCCTCTGCTTTCAGCGGCACCAAGGCCCCAACTCCAGGAGGTCTAGGATTCGGCGGCCCGGCTGCCCCTGCCGCTGCCCCAGTTGGAGCTGCTAGCCGGACATTCGCAGACCAAGGCGGCAAGACTCCGGCCCAGATCTGGGCTGAGAAGAAGGCCAGAGAAGGCGGAAGCATTGGAAACATCCCCGCCGCGGCTTCTCCAGTGCCAGTCGCTCAACAGACTACCGGAGGCTCCTCTTCTTGGAAGAGCGGCTACACAGGCAAGTCTTGGGCACCAGTACAAATTGGAGGTACCGCGCGTGCTGCTCCTGAGGAAGAGCAGCAGGAAGCAGAGTCCAGGGAGGCTGCTGAGGAAGAGGGCTCAGCTCCTAGTGGCGTGTCTGCGCTGAGAGATCGGTTCAAGAACACGGCTCCCATCGGAGCTGGCATTCCCCCAACGTCACGAGCAGTTGAGGAAGAGTATCAGGCTCCCCCCCCTGTCCCAGACAACTCCAGGCCAACTGGAGGTTTCGCTCTTCCTGGTCTTCCCAGCCGACCTGCGCCTGCGGACGAAGAGGAAGAGGAGCAGGAGGATCCTTCAGCGTATCAAACCGTGGAGGAGGAGACGGGACGCTCGCCATCGCCAATTCGTGTCGCTGCACCCGTTGCTCGTGAGCCCATCATTGAGCGGCCAGAGGAGCGAGCACCTCCTCCTGTGCCTGTGGAGGACATTCCCGTTCCTAGAGAAGAGGAGCTTCAAGATGAACGGGAGGCTGGCCACGTCGCACGAGCAGCGGCCAGCGCAGTGGCCGAGCAGACATTTGAGCACGCGCCTCATGTGGCTGACAGCCAGGACCAGCAAGGTGGAAAGCGCGCTCTTGTGCAGTATGACTACGAGAAGGCTGAGGACAACGAGATTGACTTGGTTGAGGGTGAGTATGTAACCAACATCGACATGGTCGACGAGGATTGGTGGATGGGAACCAACGTCAGGGGAGAGAGCGGCTTGTTCCCCAGCAACTACGTAGAGATTGTTGAGGGCGAAGACGCTGCGCCAGCTCCCCCGGCAGCCCCCGTTGCCGCCGAGCCGGCTCCAGTACCAGCAGCTCCGCCAGCAGCGCCAGCCGCTGCCGCTGCGGGTCCAACAGCCACTGCGCTGTATGATTACGAGGCTGCAGAAGATAACGGTAAGCCCCTGAGAAGGTCCGAGTAAATGATGTCACGCATGGATGGCTAACTTTTGTGGCAGAACTGAGTTTCCCTGAGGATGCTACAGTCACAAACTTGGAGTTCCCCGACGAGGACTGGTGGTTTGGTCACTACGGCGGCCACTCGGGTCTTTTCCCTGCCAACTACGTGAAGCTCGACGAGTAGAGGGGTTTGACATGGTAGGCGGAGAGAGAGTTGAAAGGGAGAGCGAATGGAAATAAGTAAACAGTGTAGATGTACAAACAAATAAATCATCATGTTATGTAACCTACCTATTTGAGCTGGCTATAACTGTAAAAAATAAAAGAAGTTCAATATAGGCAATAGCAATTTGTCTCATGTTGTCCAAAGTGATTACGAATAATATGCATGCTCCTAGACTTTCGCGGTGCCTATAGGCCTTTGTAAACGGTCTTTTCAGCTGCGCATTCATTAGGTCAGCTTCCCGCTGGCGTCAACTTATCTTGTTTCATAAGGGGCAAAGGTAGGCCATGTATGCGTCAAATCATTGTATAGACCCTGTCCGGAAACCCCTCTGGGGCGCGTAGGTACTTGGTTGTGTTGGTAGTACATGTCTTTCTTACATCCTGGCCGCAGTCTGGGCCGAGCCCCTCCTTTCGTGATGGTACAGGTAGGTATAGTTTAGTCCCTCATCTCAGGCTTCAAACTGAGTGACTTTATGACTTTGAGTGACGCTGTGACTGTACGACTTCACGATGGAGGCTTCAGGGCACGAGCGGCGCTATATCAGCAATAGTCAATTTGGCGACAACACCATCATCTACCAAGGCGATTTCCACCTCCACGCGCCCCACAAACAGGCCCGTGCGGAAGTCAAAGCTGTCCGTGCCATTCCATATCCGCGCAACGAAGATTTAGTCTCTCGTCCGGACCTTATCAACAAGCTAGATGAGCTTTTGCCACAAACGCCGGGCTTCTATAGCGCCGCGCTTTGGGGCCTAGGAGGCTCAGGGTATGCTCTCTTGGCCGATTATCCTGTCTTGTTAGCAAGAGTCGAGGTACTAATCAATACGAATAGCAAAACGCAGCTTGCACTTCATTACGTGTATCAACGGTGCAACGATAGTGAAGTTTGCGTCTTCTGGGTGCATGCCGACAGCGAAGCGACTTTTACAACTGATTATAAGATAATTGGCAAGAAGCTCGGAGTCAGTGAGACGCTTGATGGATCAGACCTACTCGATGCAGTGCGCAGCAGCATTGAAGCACAGCCACGATGGGTTATTGTCTTTGACAATGCTGATGATCTAAAGTTGTTTGGAGTGGCTGATAAAAATCGGACGAATGAAAGTCTTTACAAGTACATCCCTCAAGGGTCACACGGGACGGTACTATGGACAAGCCGTGATAAGAAAATCGAAGGCACACTTGTCGGCGCGACTCGAGGCATTATGGTTCCGCCCATGACAAGAGATGAGGCGACAAGTCTTCTTGTAGCAGCTAGCGGTGATACGTTAGCTGTGGACGACGAAGGAATTAATCGGCTTCTAGAAGAGCTACAGCGACTTCCATTAGCGGTCTCACAGGCCGGAGCATACATACGGCGAACATCGATGACGGTTAAAGAATACCTTGAACTCCTGATACACGGCTCAAGCCGACGGGATCTTCTTAATATGAATGGTTTTGATCGGCATAGGCGACCGGAGGTATCAAATAGTGTGCTTGAGACGTGGAAGATCTCGACAATGCGAATTCGAGAGGAAAGCGAGCTATCATATCGCATTCTCCACGTAATTGCATACCTGGACAACCAAGATATACCCTTCGAGCTGGTCATGGCAGCTAGCCAGTACGATGTTGGCGACAAGGGTAAAGCTCAGCAGATCCCCGAGACTGAAGTTCAGCAGGCCGTTACGCGACTAGTGGAGTTTTCATTTCTTGATATGCGTCGAGAGGAGGGAGGCTTACAGAGCTACGAGATGCATAAACTTGTACAAGAAGCAGTTCGATACGGGCTGTGGGTTCAAGGGCAGATGGAGATGGCCCCAGGCGGGGTTACAACAACTGGGCAAAACAGTGCAGAGAGTGGAGAGTCATATTACTCCAGTGTCGCTCTGCAGATAGTGGATGATACGTTTCCAGTGTCAGAGAAAACATCGTGGGCAAAATGCGACAAGTATATGGCTCATGCTATACGGGTAGGGGAATGGGCAGAGGTGAGCGGGAAGAAGATTGAAACAGCAACATTACTCTGCAAAGTATCGTTGTTTCTTTATGATCAAGGGCGGTGGAGAGAGAAGGAGCCAGTTGACCGGAGGTTAGTAGATCTACGCAAGGACACGCTTGGGGAAAGGCATCCAGAAACACTCAGGAGTATGTCAGATCTTGCGGGGGGATACTTGGCACAAGGCCGGTGCGACGAAGCTGAAAGAATCTATACAAAGACATTGAATTATCGACAAGAGCTGCTTGGAGAAAAACATCAAGACACAATTCGAAGCATGCAATTGCTTGCGACAGCCTATATGACTCAAGCCCGATACGCTGAGGCTAAAGAAATCTATGAACAAGCATTAAGTTTCCAATACGACTTACTTGGAGAAAGACATCCTGACACAATCTGGACTATGTCATGCCTTGCGGCAGTATATGATTGGCAGGGCCAATATAGTAAAGCTGAAGAGCTTTGTAAGCAGGCACTGGATTGTCGACAGAACGTGCTTGGGGAAAACCATCCAGTTACTATTATGAGTATGGAAAAACTTGTGAGTATATACCGTGCACAAGGCCACTATGATAAAGCCGAAGAGTTACAGAAACGGGTATTGGATATCCAACGGGAGGAGTTGGGGGAGAAGCATCCCAAAACAATATGGGCCATGGCAGCCCTTGCGATAGTATACTGTGCACAGGACCGATTTTCTGAAGCTGAACGGATCCAGAGTCAAGTATTTGATCTCTTTCAAGAGGTGCTTGGAGAGAACCATCCAATTACAATTATGATTATGGCGTACCTTGCATGGATATTTAGTGCGCAGGGCCAATTCGACAAAGCTGAAGGAATGCAAAGGCAGGCATTAGACCTCCAACGGGAAATTATTGGGGAACAACATCCGAATACAATTTCTTCCATGGTAAACCTTGGAATCATATACCAGAAGCAAAAACGATATCATGAAGCCGAAAGAATTTATAAGCAAGCATCAACTCTTCAACAAGAGAAGCTTGGGCAAAATCATCCAGACGTATTATCAACTTTGTCATGGCGTGCAAGTGCGTTTATTGAGCAGGGCCAGTATGACAAAGCTGAAGAACTAATAGGACCGGTATTGGACCTTCAACAGGAGTTACTGGGGGAAAAACATCCGGTGACAAATGCTACCAGGAGAACCCTCGGGGTAACATACCATAAGCAAGGTCGATATCATGAAGCTGGAAGGATTTACGAGCAAGCATTAACTATTCAACAGGAGGCGCTTGGGGAAAATCATCCACATGTATTAGCAACTTTAGGATGGCTTGCAGAAACATATGTTTGCCAAGGCCAACTTGATAAAGCTGAGCAGGTACAAAGGCAGTTGTTGCACTTTCAACGAGAGTTACTTGGGAAGAAGCATCCCGAAACAATTAACAGCATCAAATACCTTAAAATGATAAGGCTCAAGCAGCTACTAAGCCTTAGATATTTATTTAGAAGACTGAAAGTGTAGGAATAATAAGAAGTATGACCAAGGAGGCGACAGACCTCCGCTCACTGGAGAAGCACAAGGCCGCTAAAGCACGTGCAAAACACTGAGACGATATCATCATGTACTCTAATGGTTCTCAGCAAGAAAGCAAACGTTTAGACCAGTACGAGATGGGTTTTCTGGCTGGCTTGTCGCTAATAGTGCTGAGTGATGAAAGTGAATCTATCGATGCCCCCGTCTTTCCTATAATCGTCACTCTGGTGCTTTCTTGCGGGTGGATAATTCATCTAGTGCTTGGACGAAGACAACGCGATTACAACTCGTTGCTTGCCAAAGTTCATCTCTTGATATGTGAAATCTCTACAAATAAATTTATCCTAAAGAGCTCTGGGGCCGTTGGCCCCGTCGTAGCTCCATGGCATCTGTTCCTAAATGCATCTACACTTGAGCGTACAATAGAGATACTGCTACATACGATTTCAAACTTCTAGACTCCCTCAACCTTATATCGTTGGAGATTAGGGAATGGAATACTGTCTAGGATAAGGTTTCCAAGAGATCACGTCCTGAGTGTTTATAGGTCAACAGTTGGCGCTCTCAAACTTTTACAATCTGCTTTCCCTGAGCAGCTGCGATGACTTTGACAAATATAGTACTTTACCCCGTCGATATTGAGCTCCTGTTGGACTGAGACGAGATAGGCATCCAATCGAATCTGAATCTCCAGAGGCCTTTCATATACTTCTGTTGTGTTTTCTTAATCTTCCCTTGGCCCCCGTCGCTTTTGTGCTTAGGTATTCGAGGAATGCTACAGTACCAAATATCGGAAATAGTAGTATCAGCAATACTAGTTGTTGGCCGCTTTTGCACTACCTAGTATTAACAAACGATCATTGCGAAGAAAAGAAATAAAGCAGAGTGTGCTTATGGTAATAGTATTGGCGAGGTATTTTTTAGGCGGCTGTTACATATCTCATTATATTACTATTGATCGCAGCAGTCAAGAAGAAGTAGAAGTCGAGTCTGTTTTCCTTTTCACACGTGTTGGAGGACTTAGAGTGAGAATCAGCATCAATGTCTACCGCGTCGTTTTCGAAGATCTTGAAACCAATACTGCTCCCTCTTGCAATTATCTAGGTATCGGCTATAGCAAAATTCTGGTCGCTTCTCAAGATTGTTAAGCCGATGGCCCAAGATGCCATAGTAAATTAGATGCGAATGTAATCGAGGATGAAAGTCAAGAAGTGATTGTGGAAAAGAGAGAATAGAGCCAACTGAATATCGGAATATTCGTTAATCAAAGATCTATAAGTAAAAAAACAAGCTTTTCTCAAGCTTTGGTACCATCTTCTCCCCAACTATTCCTCAAAACATTCATAAAACAGCAAAGAGGAAGAAGTAACTACCCTTGGACTGGATATCTTTCTTTTGTTGTATAAGAAGAAAATTGAAGGGGTATGAAAAGATTAAGTGAAAAAAAGATAAATCAAGACGGCGTTGTAACAAAACACAATACCACAGCCAGTCATCTTCATGTAAAACCTTGCGCTCGTAAACAAAGCTCGGCGCTACATTCCATCTCCAAACGCGACTCCAGTAGGTAAGAAGAAGGTGGTCTCTTTCCTATCCTTTTTGATCTTTCGTTTTCAATCCGTCCCCCTTCCCACACTAAACATTATAATAGCCCCCCCTTTTTCCGCTTTTCATTGTCGCCCTAAGATATGTGGTGCTGTTGATTTAGAAGAAACATTCGCAAAGGTCGATACTGTGATTGTCGCATTAGCAAGTTGGTAGAAGTAATAGAACAAAATGCCACATACCAGCACTCGCAACCTTCTTCGACGGCGCAACAACAGCAGAGAGCGGCGATACAGCCCATCAAGCAGCCCTGGTTATTATCACGACCGCGCTGCTCCTGCTGAGGCGGCTGCTGTTGGTAGTTCATTTGTTGGCCCTGAGGATATCCCTGCTGGTACTGCTGCTGTTCCTGAGGATAGTATTGGCCCTGAGGGGGAGCTCCGTAGGCCTAAGATATGGGAGAGCGCGTCTCGTTAGCGAATTGCTCACGAATTCGTAGGCACGCGCATTTCATTCATTCAACTGCTGGGTCGCAACATCGATTGCCGAGCTCTTTCGTCCAAGCAGGGAATTGTATTCGAACTAGCGCCTGGCAATCGGTTCGCGACCTCCATTTGATATGCATTTTGAGGTTTGAAATCGAAGGAAGGGTCGTTATTTACCTGAGGAGGCTGCTGAGGATTGTAACCGCCTTGTTGAGGGTAGCCCTGTGGCGGACCCTGGTAGCCCTGCTGTTGATGGTAGTAGTCTTGGCTGGACATTGTTGTTGTTTGGCTCGTAGATCGCGCAGCGATAGTATAGAGAAGGGTTAGGATTGGAAAAAGAAGGTCGAAGAGAGAGTAAAATTGGAGCAAAGAAGGTAATGCAACGAGAGTAGCAGAGTTCGATGAATGGTATGGATTCAAAAAGTACGGAGGGATGCAAGGTTACGATTAAAAAGGCGGGCTACAGATGGAAATAAAGATTAGCGGGTTACAGCATTCAAGTGGGTAAGGAAGGGAGGCTGTGTGGCCGCTGTAGCTGCTGAGCTGGGCTGGTGTTCCATCATTATCATGGATGCTCCATAGCGGCGGCACCTGAAATTGGGCCGCTGCGACGCCATGCTACAGCGCTAATGTAAATCAAAGTTGAGGACACCCCCCGGCTGGCAATGCTGCTGTCAAGATGGTTATGCTAGGGGCTGGACAGGTTCCGAGACGGCGCGCGCCTATACTGGCTCCAGGCGTCTCGTCAAGTATCATTTGACGTCCCAGCTAAAAAGAGACATAAAAAGGCACCAGCCCGTCTTGCGCGGTTGAGGATCCTGGCTCAGGATGAAGCTCGACAAGGCCGGGGGTCAATGCCAGACGGGGATTGTTTGAGGAGGCGGAAGCGTACTGGTGGGGCAAAGAGTCATGGGAGAAGGGCAGGACGAGAATGAGATGAGGATTACTTATTGCTGGGTATAAGTACAAGTAAGTGGTACATACATGAAGAGATCAATCAGTCAATCAATCAATCAATCAATGCCGTAAGAGAGGAGCGCAAACAGAGCAGAGAGAGGCTAGTGAATGCCGTCGGTTGCCTCCAAGGGAGAAAAGAAATGAAGCTTGTAGTACAGTAGCACCAGATGTAAAAGGGGGAAGGGAGCACGGCCTTGTGTACGTGTAATCGAGCGTGTGAGCGGCAGTGGGAAATGAAGAACGGCACTCGCAAACTTATATCGCTGCTTGTAGGTACTCCAAGTATGTAACTCTAACACGAAGCAAGAAACATACATGCAATTAGCATAGCCAGCTGGATCGTCTCTCAGCCATGCCCGGTATCAAATCAGCACCACTGCGAACCCATCCATCAGCCACACCCACCCTTTTCCTGGCTCTTCTCTTCATACGCCATCGCCACTTATTTTGCTGGCTGTTGGTTGGCCAGCCGCTGCAGAAGCCCGTGCAGAAGCCCGCCCGCGACGTGCCGTGATTCCGGCCAGGCGTCAACCCAACGATCCTGCGCGGACCCCTGTCGCATCAGCTGCCATTGGCTCCATTGGCTCGGCACCAATGCGCTGACGAGGCTGTGTGTGGCGGCACTTTTTATGGCTGGAGAGGGAGAATGGATGCAAGGGCGCAGGCAGGGGCGAGACTGGACTGGGTCAATGGATGGATCAAATGCTTCTCATGCGGTCGTGCGTTGGCGTGTTCTTTGCTGTAAGTCTTGCGTGGACGTGGCGTAGCAGCAGCGTTTTCGGCCTACGCCTGGATACATGATGCGTACCTACATAGCACCATTGAACTTCCAGGTTATTTTTTTTACTTCCCACCAACGGGCACTAATCACACTGGACGAATGAAAATAGCCACGGATAGGCGAGCACTTAACCATCTCCAGCAGTATCTGCGCTAAATCGAGCCACTAGCAGCAGCAAATGCTCTGACAATCTGCAGACTACAGCAGACTAGACCTGCCTTACGTGTAATCGATGAGCGACGAAAGCGAAAGTCTGCTTCACTTGTTGCTCCGCACCGACGAGGTGGAGCTGCCAACGAGATGAACTTATGTAGGGCAGTGGCAGGTGACATGCCGGTGCTCGGGCCTCGAGATTCGAACCACAGCGCCTCTTGATGGCGTGGCGAGAGTACGTCGTTTTCTCGGTCCAATTTATGTCTGCCGGTGCTCATCGTCGGGATTTATTCGTCTCTCCTAGTGGGTGTATCTTTGTACTTCCCGGCGCTGTGTTACTGGCATGGCGTCCTGAATAATGCACGAGGTCTATTAGAAGTCTCTGTTTCAGGATGAGACTCGGACATGTATGACAGGACGGGGTGTTGATCAAAGAAATTGACACTTCATTTGGCTAGATTAAGGCACTCTGACCATAACAACCCTATTATTTGGGCCCTGTTCATCTCATCTACTTGGATCTGCTTCATCTAGTCAGATCAAGCATATCATTATCTAGATGATCAATTGACCTCCGCACTTTTGTTTCTATATTAGAAGTCACCTAAACCTTTAACCTAGCTATAGTGCCATGACCTAGCCAGATGTGAAATTTATTCAAACTCACAGTAGTAAATGAGCCCTCATGGCCGTAGCAAAATGAGTCTGATAGAAGCAGTTGCTTGGGACAGATGACTTCGTTCAATCAGAGAGCCCCGATCCCCGGAAAAGTCACATTGCTCATCGTCAATTGTTATCAAACACACATAGCAAGCCAAAGACCACACTACTGTACTCAAGAGTAGCAAGAGGCAACAAATACATATGCTTCGTAGCTTTGTCGTCCAAAAACCCTCTGCACTGATAGGCCGTGGGGTAGTTTCCTCGCGAGTTAAAGGTATTCTTTGTTGGATGAGGTGCTCACAAAAATCGGGACAGTGCTATGACTGCTTGTAAGTGCCGGTATAGAACAACAGTAGAGAAAGCCTGACATATATTGAATATCGCAGTACAGTACCACTGTTAATTGGTGTTGGGGCCAGTGGTGAAGCAGGTGCTGAGCACTTGGTTATTCAAGCGATAGACGACACCTGCTTCATTTTTGGAGCTTAACAAGTTGGAAGCCTCAATAATTGGGACTAAATCACAAGGGAGAGAATCAAAAAATCTTAAACAATATCATCGATCCTCTCTTTCCCTTTCTCTCTCTTGTTGACTACATATCTAGGTACCTATGAGTGGCTGCCAGAGGCAGTTGCAGCCTCGTTCCTTCCAACGTCCAACTGCAGGTCCGTCATCGCATCTCAGCATTTGAACTTTTTTCTTAAATTCATGATTCCGGTTCCTTTTCTTTTCTCAAGGACCATCTTCGTTGTGGCCATGATTCAGTGGCTAGTCAAACCATTGTCGAATTTTACTTGATAACAACACGTCCGAGGCGGATCCTATTCTCCCTGTGCACAGCCTGTTCGAACCAAACGGCTGTGATCATCTCACAATCCGCTGGAACGGCGCTTCCGATTTCGCTCTCCCCCAACATATCTTGCAAGTCGCCAAAAACGCCTGCATTGAATCACAAATCATCCCTTTTTGACCGCCTGTCCTTCGAAATGCATTTGCCTCTTGTTTCAAGCGTGTTGTGCATGGCAGTGAATCTTCTATATATGGCGACTACAAATCTTCTCAGCGACATGGCTCTTCCCAACTTACCTATTTCAACTCCCTTCTGCCTGCAGTCAAATATTTCACGGGACTATCCATCTCCCTACGTTGCACCCACTCTCGAGAACCTCAAAAGAATCTGGCTTTCAGTCATTCGCTTATTGTTTGTGTGGTAATGAATCTCTCTTGTCAGTTGCGAACTCGTTCTTACTTCTACTAGTTATTTCCAGCCTTCAACGCCGCCACAAGATATCCATTGCTACCTGCGATAACTTTGAACAGAGTCGTATTTACGGAGATCAACGCACTTCATTCTGGGACAAGTTGCTCGAAAGATGCCAGCTCTCATTAGTAAAGAAAGCTATTCTTCTGAGAACACAGGCAATAGGCCAGCTGCGGATCCAAACCTGCAGCTTGCCCCCTGCTCTATCGACCCTATGGAGAGGCACCACGCAATCATCGCCATCCCTGAATCTCAGCCATCCGGAGATTCCGCGCCAAGATCTAATGCCGTCTTAGCCAACCAAAGGCCCCCTTTGCCAAGCTTTGATGTTGCTCACAATGGATGGGATGCTTCCAATGTATCCACTGCCAAGTGCGACCTTTGTCATAAACAGCGCTGCGGGACTCTACAAAAGTGCCGTGACTGCAAGTTATCAATTTGCCAAGAATGCTGCGTCGCTGGCCGCCTGCAGAATGATCGGAGACACACAATAGATGCTACAGCTGTCAGTTGGGATGTTCCACCAAACATTCGTAAACGAAAGAACCGAAACCAGGAAAACAATGATGATCCGCCAAACACGGTGAAAAAACAAAGAGCTGCGAAGAGCACCAGACAAGGGCAGGAGCAATGCGCAGCTGAAGACTCAACGGAGACTTCCATCTTGTCGACCGCGGACAATAGTCCAGCAGCCAAACACACACCGGTTCCTGAAACTGATGCTAAAGATCGAACTTCAGACACAGATCATAATCATGGCACTCCTATCGAACCGCCGCTTTCCGTGGCACCAGCGCCACACTACTCTCCTTCCAGCTGCACTCGATACACGGACGCAATCTCTTCAAGATATCCCGCTCAAGATGCACGGAGCACTTTCAGCCCTGGCCATAGAAGGCTTCCGTTTATCGAAGAGCCTAGAGACAGCCACGACCGAAACTGGGTTCCTTCTGGCAATAAAGGCTACCCCCTAGCTTCCATCCCACACCCGATATCTGGATATCCTGTCTCTACAACAGCAAGCAGAATCCCTCAGGATGTCGCCTCTCGGCCCGTTCTTCCCCCAATTTCATTACTGGTTCCAGACAAGGATTGGCAGCAGCATCAACCTGCTGAGAATCTTTGGACGAGTATGAACTTTGTTGATCGATTGGAAGATCTTCTACACCCTCATCAGCAACCTACAAGGGAAACGTGGCCGCAGAACGACTACATCAGCTCCTTAGGCACTAAGCTTGCTGACGCAGCTCGCAGGAAGCAAATGTCCAGTTCTCACTCGATACCGTTGGATGGATGCCTCCGTGATGAAATTCAGAGCGCGTGGGAGTCCCGTGAGTTCATAGCCAGAGATCGTGATGCCGGTTGCCGGTATCGGCAAATTCTTGCAGCTGCGTACTTTGCCAGCACTCATCTCGGCCTTTCGCCGCAGTTCAACGTCGCACGAGAGTGGCTGCGTGAGAAGGAATTCCATTTGCGCGAGATGGGCTACGAGCCTACAAAGTCGAGACCGCTGATGAACTTTCTCCAAGAGGTTGGAGTTTGGTATTTGCGACAAGTCCAATGGTAGGAGCGAAGAGTGGGCAGAGTAGACGGATAGAGGTTACTTGTCTTTTCTCATTCATTTTATTTACTCCTTGCGAGGAGAGAATGTTAAGAAGCACGGAATATAGAGCAACCATGAGTTACTTGATAGAACGGTTGGTTACATCACGAGAAACGATAGAATGTTGGAGTTTGTAAAAGTAGTAGATTCTTGGTTGGTAGAGACAATGAAGAAATCACAGTTATCCACAGGAACTGTAGCCATGTTTGAACGAGTTAGATGGAAAGATTAGTGATGAGAAACTTTTGTGTCTTCTTATATCCATTCCTAGTAAGCCACCTTGCTCCTGAAATGAGATCAAATCTAGCCTATACATCCATCATAAAAATACTGCCGTTTTTTTTTAAAAGAAAAACCAGCTCACTCATTAAAAAGTGAATAACAAAGACAACACCATATGTAAGTCAGGTATTTTGAAACCACCCCCCTTATCCTATATCTACTCCTCAGCCTCCTCCTCAACCTCCTCAGCCTCCTCCTCGTTGTCATCCTCATCGAAGCTGCCAGCAGGGACCTGGTACAGTCTCAGGATAGACTTGTTGGGGTCCTTGACGAGGACAAACTTGCCCTCCTCGCGCTTGAGGCACATGTCGGCAATCGTGCGGACGATACCCCAGCCGTTGGAGAGGGACAGGTTCATCTGGTTGGCGAAGTCGCGGGGCTTCCAGCCGATGACGCCGAGAATAACGTGCTTATCGTTAGTTCTAGGGCTGGCACGGGAGACGAATCTGTTGGAGACATCAGGTTAGCTATACTAGAACGGGAAAGCATGTAGTTAAAAAGGAAGAGTGTGCATACCCGAGCTTCATAACGTCAGACTTGGACAGGATGCTCTGCACAGTCCATCTGGCCAGCTTGCAGCTGTTGTTCTTCATCTCGGTAGTAACAACGGCACCACGCTGGGCGACGAGCTTCGTCCGCCAGTCGAGAGCGCCGCCGCTGCCCTGGGCACGGCTGTCGAACTCGTTGAGGGCCTTGATGGTGACCAGCTGGTCCTCGCCGCTGATGGCGTTCTTCTGGACGGCGTCGACCTCGGTACGGACAATCAGGTAGACGGGCTCCTCCTCGTTGGTGGAGAGGTCGAATCTCCTGTACTTGTAGGCCTTGCTGGCGGGAGGATCGGTGTCGTCGGAGGCGTCGTGGAAGGGGTTGGCGTGGGCCATCTGGACCTTGTTCGACTCGTTCTCGCTCACGACCTGGTTGGCGAAGTTGTGGTTGATGTAGGTGGCCTCCTCGGCGAGGGCAGGGGGCTGGTTGATGACGTCCTTACCGCCATCGGCAGCTTCCAGGGGAGCGTCGGCGGCGTTCTCGTTGACGGTCACCATATCCAGGTTGGCGTTGTCACGCTTGTCGAGGAAGATCTTGTTGCCCTGGCGCACGATGACAATGTCCCAGGGGTAGACGGAGCGGGTAGAGCACATGAGCATGGAGAGAATGCTGTCGGTGGCGAAGATGGTGGCCTCGTTCTTCTCGGCGTACTCCTGGATGACGGGATCAGAGGAGGTGGTGACGTTGTAGGCGGCACGGTCAATAGCCGTGAGTTTCCTCTCAGCGCCCTTGACAGGCTGCTTGTCGTAGGAGCGGTCGTAGTAGTACAGGAAACCGTAGTCGTCCAGGTCCTCACCATCGTCGGTATCGAGGTTAAGCTTGGCCAGGCGGTTGAAATCAATCTCCTCGAGGAGCTCCCAATCGGCCTTGATGTTAATGCTGGCATCACGGTTGCGAGCAGGCTTGTCATAATCCTTCCAGCCGAAACGACGTCCACCACGGGCACCAGCACCGCCTCGTCCACCGCGCTCGTAGCCATAGCCCTGTCGGCCACCGGGGGCACGCTGGAACTGGCCTCCTCGTCCACCGCGGGTATCACCACGGCCGCCGCGCTGGCCTCGGCCACGGGTGAAGACGGCACCGCGACCATATCTTGTCTTGGTCGAGTCTCTGGTGTTGCTGACGACGGAGAAGCTGGTCTCGTCCTCGGCGGGAGGGGCATTGAAAACAACAGCGTGGCCGGTGCCATACACTTGCTGGTCTAATTTTTTTTCCGAATCTCTCGTCAGCAAGCATTCCAAAGCCTAGTATAAGAAAGGCCACCGTACCTCTGTACTGGCGGCTGTACTGCAGACGTCCACCACGTTCGCGGTCCTTGCCCTCAGCAGTCCAATCGGCCATGCGCCCCAGCTTGTCTCCCTTGGAGAAGGGCGCATAGGGAACGCCGTTGAGGGTGATTTCGCTGGTTACTGAAGGGCCCCAGCCATCTCCTGGCGGGCAGCTCTCGCAAATCTTCTCATAGTCCAGTGACTGGGCCATCTCGTCTGATTTTCCAGAGTTCTCTCTTATTTTCGGACGTTCACTCAGATGATGAACGCAGCGGGCCGGGGTAGAGAAAGAGAGAGAGGCTTTCCCTTTGCTCGTGATGATTCGTTCGTCCGGCTGGCGATGAATTTGGTTTCCAACATTGAATCGAAATTGTGGTGGGGGGTGGGGCAGCCTAACGAGAAAAGTTGCAAGCCCCGCGCCACCAGTTGCTGCCAGCTGCACAGCCACTGGATTTTTTGTGTGTGTTATCTTATCGCTACATAAGCCACAGATTGGCTGGTGAGTGCGCGAAGTCGACGTTTACTTGAGATGTCGCATGAGATAGGCGCCATCAACGTTTCTCGAATTCTTCAAACGTAGTAGTCTTCATCACTATAGGTAGGCAGTAGATCTGGCTCCATACGAGAGTGAAAGATATTCATAAGTATTTAATTAGTGACGCAAAACATTTATATATATATGTATACATCGTAACTACATAACAGCAAAGCCAAAACTGGCGTTAGACATGGACGCAGCCAAGGTGCGTCCTGGAATCTCTTTAAACAAATACATAAAGCGTCATTAAATAGGGGAAAAGATCCAATATGGTGAGTTTACACCAAGAAGCATGAAGTGAGCGAATGAGGGAGAGCTAGAATGCGGGAGCGAGAGAGAAGTGGAGGGAACACCAAGAGGGAACACCAATAAGTGAAATCAAAAGACCATTGCTTCTGGGCGACCGGAGAAGATATTCTCTAGCGCATCCCGCAATTCAAACTCCTCCATGACAGCACCAAATCTGTTGCTCACAGGATTAGTACATCAAACACTCATAGCAGCAATCGTCAATCGCCAAAAGACAAACTCACCCATAACACCTAATTTTCCGTAATAACTCCTCTGAAAGCTTTTCTAAATCGCCCGGAGCCAATTCGTTGAACCTGTAATGCGTTGTAACCATTCTCCACGCCATGACCGGGGTGATCTCGCCATCTAGGTTGAGCTGTTTGCTGAGGTCTAGGAGCGTGGTCAGATCGGCCTTGCTGAGCTCCCATGTGCCTTGCTTCTCAAACTCTCCGCCGTGGTCGTGCGTATGTTTACTGCCGAAAGGGATGTCTGGGGTCAGCTCTTGAAACGGCGCAGGAGGGCAAGACACCATCAAGGCGTGGCCACAGGGCGCGCCGTCAGCGTCGCTCGCTCTGTCAACCAGGAATGGCATGTGTGCCATGCAAGGCTTTTCGAGCCTACAAGATCCCTCGACAAAAGTCGCAACCGTTAGCATACCGACCCTTGCGCATCAAGTCCCGACAGTTTGGCTCGCGTGGCTGTGAAGTGGCAACCTTGTTGAGGTCACTGCGGGGGAGGTGAAAGATAGGCCTTCGAGGAGGAGTTCTCGTACGTTAAGACGAAGTCAATACCAGCCTGCTCAAGATCAACCCCGTTGCCAGCAGGTGACGGCTGGCGGTTCTCCGGCGACATTGACATGCCGGTTGATTGCGACATGCCGGCAGGCGAGAAGCCGCCCTGCGAGCCGTGCGCAAAGCTGTTGCCCGAAGCACTTACACTCATCGCCTGAGTGCCACCGATACCCGAATCGTCCACGCTGCTTGGCTTTGGGAGCTGAATGCCTCTCTGGACCAGGACTTCTTTGAGTTGCTTGTTCTCGTCGTACAGCTTCTGCTTATCCAGAGACATTGTGCTAAAGACTTCTTTCAGTCTAGTGACTTCATCTTCTAGTGCTTTGATGTATAGCTCTTTTCTCTCGCGGTGGGTTCTGCAGAGTGCAAACAGTGGGTTAGCTTTGCACTGTACGCATGTCTAATGCCTCGCAAGACAAAAGATGCTTACCGTTGAGCTTGCCGATTGAGCTCTTGCCGCCTAGTCAAGGCGGGTTTGCTGTCTGGCTTTGGTCCACGCCGCTTGGGGGGATTGCCGGCTGTCAAAAAGAGAGGGTGATTAGTCGGTCGGTCTTCTTACCGCCGTCGGGAATATGCCTTGTCGGGATATCTTACTGCGGGTGACTTTTTTGTCCGATAGGTTCTTGAAAAAGTTGAGGTTCAGGCCAGAGAGGACACCCTTGTCAGTGCCTTCTGTCGAGGCCTGGGAGGCGCCTCCTTCAATTTGATCCGGAGACAGCGATGACATGGTAGCTTGCGATAACCCGGACGATGTAAAGTAAAAGCAGAGAGGGCCCAATGGCTTGCGGTAGGGCGCGATAAGTGTTTAAAATACTATTGCCGACTGCGACAGGTCAGCCACCGTGCGACGTCAGATTCCGAGAAGGTTGCAGCCACAGTGTGGCAAAATCGAATGCCGAAATTGGCCTCCGCGCCATCTAGGGAGCAGGTAGAAGCTTACCTCAAGGGGAGTCCAGGAGTGTCGGTGCACGCTGCCACAGCTCTGTGATTGCAGATTGTCTGGACAGTCGATGGTGGTGAGGATGCAGGTCAAGATACGGCGCAGAAAGGCGGACCGTCCGAAGTAATAGCGGTTGCGAATATACTAAGCAACGCCGTTCGCAGCGATAGGGCGAGAGCTTCCGCACCACCGCAGGAGAAGGGCTAGCTGGAGGAGCTGCGGCACTGTCTGCTGAGGAGCTGTCGGGGTCTTGCGAAAAGAGCTGGACAGCAACGCAAAAGACGGTTATGAAGAGCTAAAGAAGTTATGAGACAGTAGCCACAGAGGGAGAAGTGACGGCGATTGCAGTTGATTGCTTCAATTGCCCGTGAATGGATGCCCGCGGGATGTAGTGAAATCAATAGCAGTTCAAGTTGAGGACTGAAGTGCAAGGCGCGAGACACAGCGGGGTTCTTGAGCTCTCTGGGCGTCGAGGGCCCTAAAAGACGGGGTTCGCTGGGGGCAATTAGCACCCGACTCGATGGATCCTGGCAAAATTAGGCGAGCCGGTGGAGAGCGCCAGCAGCACCACCCACTGTATTTCGTGCGAGAACGTGCGATCTTACGCTCCGATAGGCCCCTCTACGGGTAACTCGCTCGAAAGGATCGTGAGACCGTGGCTCAGCCTTGCTTGGACGTGAACATGTCAGAAGCGAATCAACTTCTTATTGCGCGGGTCCCCCGTCTCGGATCGTGCAGATCATAAATAAGAGGGACGAAGGAGTAATAAGACTTTGTTTTAGAGACGCATCCGACCTGCCGCATGTACTTTATGCCAGTAGCGGTGATGCCGTACTACCCGTGCGTATCTGGCTAAGCCTCCAGGAGCAGATCGGTCGTTGAATGCCTGAATACGCAAAATTACATCTCAGGCTTGGAATAAGCAAAAGGCAATGCTTAAATCAAGGTGCTTCACTCCATGTACCAGTAGTAAAAACCCGAAGACCGAGAAGCGAGAGCAACGGCCGCCAAGCTCGCAAAGCCACCTCTTGCGTCAAGTTTTCCTGACCAAACTCCAGAATATGCTCGCCAAAGATGAGCCCACGCGTGACGACTCGCAGCGCTAAAAGTCCAGAACTTCCTTCAGGCGCCCATCACCTTTCCTGTAAGAGTAATAGGTACTGCGGTGACCACATTATTTTATGCTTACATGTGTGTACCATCTTCGACTATCTGCCGGAGACTGCTGCTGTTCTTATTCTTAGTCCGTAAGCACTGGACGCCTTCTGGACAGCGGCTCGCCGTGGTGACACGAAACATTGGGCAATTTCACCGCGGCGGGAGTGGGTTGCAAGTGTGAAACAGTGATTCAGCCATTACGCAGCCACGGACGATTGATGATTGGTAAAAGCCACCTGCGTATCAGAATACTATAAATTATCCCATTTCCTTCAATGGGGGTCGTAGCCCGCACGCAGGTACTACAGGCCTATATTCAAGATAAGCATCACCTTAGTACCCTTCAATGCCCGAGATGTTGCATAATAGCAACATAGCCTCACTCTCCCTTTAGTATCAGTAGCAATGCCCAAGATGGGAAGTAGAAGCCGTTGCTAATGTCCCATAAATAAGCATCGCCATTGAAGCTCTTGATACTACTGGTTGGTACAAGATGCAAACAGCTACCTTACCTACTACTAAGTACCTACAAGGTGCCGAAGACTTTGGCACTACGCCCTACCACTGGCCTGTGGCATTGCGTCATGTGGACCGACGGTCTGACCACCAGATTCCGTCTCAATCACTGCAATCCAGACTCCTGGATAAGAGGGCATGTTCTCAAAGAGGAAATTGTGATAATAGATCCTGCATCAGGAGTTGTTCTAAGTGGTCGCTGACGGAGCTGCTGCTGCTACTGCTACCACTAGCTGTTTTTCTAAGAAAACGACTCAATACTAAGTACATACTCACATGTCGCTAATCACACAGGTCCGCGGCCTCGCCTTGACGGCGCCTTGGCTGGTGTACTTGCTGCTGGCAGATGTAGCGCTGTCGCTGATGCTGCCGCTCAAGGCACTGGCCCCTGAGCTCGTCTACAACCTGTCGTCTCGCGTCGCCGGCTCGGTGTGGCGGTGGATTCAGCTCATCTTTGAATACGCCAACGGGGCCCAGATCGAGTGCTCTGGTGACGACATCCCGGCGGGCGAATCTGCCATTGTCGTCTCCAACCACCTGGCCTGGGCCGACTTTTATATGATCCAGGCCCTGGCGATACGCAAGGGCATGCTGGGCCGCTGCCGCTACTTTGCCAAGCGCCAGCTTCGGCTCGTGCCCTTCCTAGGCTGGGGCCTCTGGGCCATGGGCATGCCAATGGTGAGCCGGAGCTGGGTCAAGGACAAGTCAGAGCTCGATCGTGCCTTTGCCGGCCTGGTTTCCATGAGGCTTCCGACCTGTAAGTCGTTTATGTGTCCCCCCTACCAGAGCAGCGGCAACGACAATAGGTCGTGCTCTCGTCAGTAAGTGTTGACCCGGTTATATAGGGCTCATTAGCTTCAGTGAGGCCACTCGCTTCAGCCAGCGGAAATACCAAGAGTCGCAGGCATGGTGCAAGAAGACCGATCGGCCCCATCCCATGCATCTCCTGTATCCCCGCACCAAGGGCTTCATCGCCACGGTCCAGCACCTCCGCAGGGCACCGCATATCAAGGCTGTGTACGACCTGGCCATCTTTTACCGTCGAGGCAATGAGTTCCAAGAGGCCCCGACAATGTGGGACACGCTGAGCGTTCCGAGACTGAGCGAGGAGGCCGGCTTCCACTTTCATGTACACGCTCGCCGATTTCCCATTGAGAGCCTGCCGCAGACTGACGCCGAGTTGGCCAGCTGGCTGGAGCAGCGGTGGATTGAAAAGGGGGAGTGGCTTGAAGGGCAGAGACAGAAGTGCCTCGCCTCTTGATGCAGCTTACAAGGAAGTGCCATGTTGAACTATGAGTTTCTAGTATTGCTATTATCTAACAGCACATAAGATGACTATTCTTCACAGCTACTAGGTGTCCATTGACTGTTTCATCTCGAGAGATCATATAATACTTACATACATATATACCTCCCTATAGTATACCAAGTATGGGTCAAGAGGTTCTAGATCTACTTCATAATTGTAATAGCCACCGGAATGGCTACTGGAAATAACATAATAAGAATAGAATACCAAAGATGGCCATGACCAATTAATGGCACAAGAGGCATTCTAGAATCATCCCGTGGCAGAGCATGTGCACCATACTGCATGTACTTGGCTATTCACACCCAAATAGACACTTATACGAAGAGCAGCTAGAGCCAACTGCATCATGGGTTGTTTAAGAAAGACGTGGTAATCGGTTCTTGTGATATAGTATGCCATATGCAATGCATCCCGCGGATGCGCTACGGCTCTTTAGAGACGTCTGCTGCTGCAGAGCTAATACACGGTGCGAACACGATAAGTAGAGCAGTTCCATTGCTTGTTTGTAAGTCGTAACGCTAACAAATGGGTGGGAGGCAAGCAGCCATTAAGCTTGAGCTCCAGCTTGAGCTAAGACGGAGCAAAGGTGGGAGTGAGGAGAGAGGAAACTACCCCAAGATGCGGAGAGGCAGAGAGTTGGGCGGCAGATCCAATCCCAGCCCGCGCCGCCGATCTGAATTTGCTCAGGCGTTTTCGGTGATTCCTCTGGATCTCCCGCGTTTGTGCAAACGATGAGGCCTGGTTGGTGCAACATGGCCGTTCTAGATGAATTCTTTCCGACGCGGCCCAGGCCCAGAGCCCAAGGCCCCACGGCTTTTGCCGTTTCCTGCGTGACTGCTGCGTCCCGGCATCGTCTCCTTGCCTGGGCTACTGTATGCCCGCGCATGAATGCAAGGCCGTTGCCATCACAACCATCACAACCAGCACGGCCACCCACACCCTCTGCAGAACCCGGCTAGGCTTTGGGGTAGTTGGCCTAGTGATGCTGCGACGCCGTAATGATATCAGGAGCAATGCCGGTACAGTGTCGATTGGCCAGGCGGCTTTGCTAACCCGCGCTCCGTTGTTAATGCCATGACCATATCGAATGTGCAAATGGAAAGCGTCGAGACCACCCGCTTACGTGACGTGGCGTGGTCGCAGAAGCCGCATGCATGTCGGGACACCAAGCCAGCCCTTATGCAGGCCGATTAGAGAGAGCGGGCGCTGGTTGTAGGGGACCGGGGAGAAATTTTCTCTTGCTGCGCTGCGCTGCGCTGCTGTTTGTTGCTGGAGGGCTTCTCCCCGGCGCTGTTCGACGCACGGGGGCCCGTCCCAGAGCCTCCCGAGGGACCCTTCCAAGGCAAGGCCGCTAAGGATTCTCCCGTTGGGCGCTCACTGTGCAGCGCTGGTGCAGCTGCAGCGCCCATCGACGCTACGGCCTGCGCTGTGGCCCAGCAGAGTTTAGAGGCGCCGCCGCAGAGGGTTGGATCAGGCGGGTAAAGGGCCTGGGCAGATGGTGGGCCGTGATTGGCCGCCGGGCGGCGAGTCCCCCGCTTAATGTGTCATGGGGGGAGCAGAGGACGCGACCATGGCCGTTTTTGCTGCTTGGCCACATAGATACTCCGTTTGGCCTGGGGCCTGGCTGCGGCGGCTGGTACCTCGATTAGCAATTGGACTGTGAGCCATCGTGAAACGAACCACTCCCGACTGAGCTGACTGGCATCCGACCTGCCGCCTTGTGTGTCCAGCGATTGCTGCTCCTGAGAACGTCCGCCGCCTGTTCGACTCCAGAGGTAACTCACGGCCTGTGGTTCAGCAC